TATTATAAGAATATATTGCTAGTAAGGAACAGAAATTGAAGCCAAATTTTTGAGATGGAGCTATACAAAATCCCAACGACTAAAGAATATAAGGACATGTACAGTTTGTCTGCTGGATCAGTGTCTATGAAAGGCATGCGGACAAAAAACATTTAAATAAACAGCAATATATTTTATACGTCGACTTGATGAGTACGTCACCGCAAATCGCTCCGCCCACTCATTTTATTGGCTACTTGCAAATTTGTCGAATCTTTATTGCTGGGACGCGTCGTCTAATTTTTTACGAAAAACATACGTAGCTACAGAACGGACAGACGTACTGTAACGCCCCTATACGGGCTGCAGCAAAATTTATGACCTTAGAGACCTTTCTTTTGGTGGCAAACAATGAGTCATCATTTGGTCACCAGCGACAATTTTAGCGATTTTTAATAGTTTATGTGTAGTAAACTTTGTATAAACTTTATTACAATGGTGATTAGTTGTTCAGCTTTCAAGTGTAAAAGCAGCAGCGATAAGAAAGAGCCAGGAGTTACGTTTCATAGGTAAATAAACAGTCCAATCCAACTTTTTAGCGTTTTCTTATTGAATTCGATAATTATTCTTCAATTTCAATTAACATCTATATGTACTTGATATGTGCTATACGTCGATACAAGTTATATACCTTTTGTTAACATTTTAATACGTTTTTTTCGTAATTAATTAGGATGATACACCATAGGCGTAGTCAAAACAATTATCAAAAAATATAAATATTGCTTCAAACAGCTAGGTTAAGAAAAATATCTGCTACGGCACTGTTTCGTGACATCGTCACAATTTGCTCTCGGGTGTTATTTGTCCTTGGATTCTTTAGTCATTGCAAAATCCACATAAGTCGGTCCTTTTCGTTCAACAGCTCTGAACTACGCAAGCGTGAGAAGTGCTTCTCGATTAGTTGATTTATTTCATACTAATCAATAGAAGTAGTTTTCTAAGTTTCAATTAGCCGTAGAAGTTTGTTCACCTAATTTTAATGTAAGCAGTCAGAACGTCATAATTAGTAGTAGTAAATTTCAATTATTGGAAAAAGTTAACAAACTTTTGACTTCTCCACTAATTATACTTCAAAATTTGCGAGGAATGTCATTTTGGCCTTTGATTATCACATGATTAGCACCCGTCAAGAAAAATTTTAGTTAGAAATCGAAAGTTTATTGTTTTATAAGCTAAATATTATGCTTTCTCTATTGATACAACAGACTACCGCAAGCTGTTGCTAGGATATTTTATTAATTTTAATTGTGTTTTTTAGACATTGTGAATGATCGTAAATTAAAAAGGATAAAGTGTAATTGAAACCACTAATTTATTCCTCTAATTGGGAGGCTCTGAATGAAGATTTAGAGCTTAAAATAGTGCGCAGGCAGGTGACAGCGTTCAGTGATTAAATAGACGAATCAGATCGTTTTATTTGGTGCGTGCGCACGAAAATCATGTTGAACGAAAAGGATAGACTTATGCAAGATTGATATGCCTATTTCTTTTCTTTGGCTTCACTTTCCACTCATTGTGTAAATGTGGTACTAGCAATATATTCTTATAATATATTTGGTTTAAACCAACACTACCGCCGGCGGTATTGTTAGTGTATACAAAAAAAAATACCGTCATCCAGCGGCATGATATTTCTATACCTTTAATTATCCTAACTAATAATAACTAAATATAACTAATTATATATTAATCTAACTTAAAAAAGAAGCTTCTATAGGTTTGTTCCAACCAGCATTTCGGGATCGTTTCAAAATCGTACTCGAATCGGTTTTCTTGCACTTTGTTACCATGCGCGGACTTCATATAGTTTCGTGACGGTGCAAAAAGTATCAATGTTGGAACTCTTTGTGGATTGTTAAGTGTCAAGCGTGCGTGTATCAATCGGTTTTTTGTTTTTGTTTAGAATTTCATATCATAACCCTATTATTTTTGTTTGCAATTTGCAATAATAATAATTATTATTCTTGAAATGGAGAATCAGAATCCAGTAATTGTTGATAAATGTTGTTTCAACTGTTTCAACTAACGCACACGTATTCGAATTCTTAAAAAATAACCAAGACAGAAGCATCAGCCGGACGTCGGCGCCGGAATCAGCTGTTAAAAATCGATAATCCCTGCCAATATGCTTTAATGCGCAAGTCAACCCAAACAGTTCTCAATTTGGACCATGTACCGAAATTACCGTTCTGAAATCGTAACTAAACGATCCCAAGGTTGGTTGGTACGCAAATAGGATCGTCCGATAACCGTCAAATCTCAGATGGAACACATTTGAATTACTGCGCACGAGCGTGATCGTTCGGTGACGGTTCTGCGGCGGGTTGGAACAAACCTTATATCGACGACATGAAAAAACCTGTTGAACGCGCTTGTTTACGAATTATAATTGACGAATGCTTTTCAAATTTTGCTATTGCTATATTTTACAATATTTTATCTATAATTAAAAACAGTACACTTCCGCAAAAAGGTTTTTTCCTATGTTTATAAGAATGTCTAGAATGAAAGACAGAAATCATTCTTCATGTAACAGGTTTCATCTATTCTAAAGCATATACGTATTATTTACAAATATACTCAGCCTGATCTCCAAAAAGTGAAGCCCAAACAGTGAAAGAACAATATGGAATTCTGTATAAGTCTATTTCACCCGGATATTCATTTAACTGCGCATGCCTCACCTGAAGAAGTTTTCATTGGTCGATGTTTTTAAAGGGAAGTGGTTGAGTGACATTTCACCTAACCTTCAATTTTATTTATATTTTTATTATTTATAACACATTATCATGGAGTTGGAAAAATATCAAAAAATAGTTGGAAACAATAAACTAAACAAAATCACTCTTTTACGCGCACAAATAAAAAGTAATCCAAACAGAACTAAACAACAATCAATCGGAGTTTGGCGCAATCTCAGTTCAATCCATATCCGGGTGAAATAGATTTATGCAGTTTTAATATGGAGCTGGGTTATGTTGTCTTTCTCTTACGGCACAGAAACTGCACACGGGGTTAAATAGGGAACCCTGAGTATATTTGTAAATAATACGTATATGTTCTAAAGTTGAAGAACTGAAAATTATGCATTTCCGCAGAAAACATGTTGCGACTTTCTATTTGAGAATGCATACTAAATAAACAAATATTTCTTACATAACTGATTTCAGCTAAACGAAAGTTGAGCCATAAATTTAATTGAATTTAAAAAAACGGACCATAAATGACAAAAAATGCGCTTATTATACATTTTTATTTATCGATTCGTTACAGAAATCGAAAGCAATTTTATCTCTGTCAATTTTAACGACGAAAAACAAGACGACATATCATCTGACCACACGATAAGTTTTTTCATATCACTTAGAAGTTAAAGAATCGAATATGTTACGTATCATATCAACTATTCCAACGAGTTATTTGTTCCGATCGATTTTTCAATACTTATAATCTAGAACGTATTGATTTTATAACCAGACAGGTACCGGACTTAGCCTAAAGCTCTCGCACAAAATTAAAAAAACTATTACCTATTATAAAAATCGAATTCGGAAGCTGTAATCATATAATTGTGTAGATAATCAAATAATCAAAACAACCCGAACAATAAATCTGATTTATTTGTAAATTGTATGATTGTTTGTGAAGTCCATGTTAAAACAGAACAAAAAACCAAATTAATTGGAAGGCTTGGTCAATAAAAGGCAAAAAATAATATTTTTTTCGACGCTTTAACAATTCCCTTTAATTTTATAAACGCGATATTAAAATTAGATTGTTCTATCGTAAGAAATGAAAAACATGACTTCAAACGATTACACTTGTTTTCCAATTTTGCCTTTTATATCCCCCTTTCATGTCGTTCCGTTGGCTGTGGGCGACAGAGTTAAAAGTTTATACGTCAAGAACAACTTCGATCTAACCTAATTCAGAGGTACTACAGGGCCCAGAGACACCTTGTTGTATAAATTTTTAAGCTTGATCGCTTCGCGCCTTGCGTCTGTCCGTTACTCTCGGACACTCGCTCATTATTGTCATGATATTTCTTTATATTATTATTGTGAATCAGTATGGATCTAGTCATGTTTGTTACAATTTAAAATATTTTATAAATGTTGATTAATATACGACATTCCTATTTCAACTCCGAAGTTTTATTTGCCCTACAACATTGCAATACTTTAGTATTTCCGTGCTACCTAAAACCATGTGTTCAATGTCAACAGTTTATCACTTAATGAGAAATATAAAACAAGATTTTTTACGGCGAACAAATGCAAAGAAAATAAAGTCATCCTACTCCGCCACCCCTCCCAGCAATAGAAGGTAATGAAAGAGTTAGAAAAGGAGTGAACACTCCACTAACTGGACCAAAACCCTTCTGCTCCCAAGGGGAAACAAAGTTAAAGCAGAACTCAAAAACCTGGAAGACTCCATCCGTAACCTAGAATGGGAATCCTCCAACTCGCGGTTTTAAAAGTGCTTAAAACGTGCGTATAGGATGCATCGCGGAGAGCATCGCATCGAGATGCCTAACTATGTAGGTACCCTAAGACACTCGAAGAAATTTTTCACAACTTACGATCCAGAAAAACTAAAGATTTTCCTTGATTTAAGTAAGAACGATCTTCGAATTGTCAAGGGGTGTTTAACAGGGGACACTGTTCACACTCCTAAATGAACACCTCAGTAGATTGAAACTAAGAAACAACGGAGCAGATTCTGTGGGGAAAATGGGGAAACACTAGAACACCCCATCACTGAGTGCGCCGAGGCGACAACCATTCGTGCCATAAACTTTGGTACAACTGAAAACGGAGATGGAGAACTAACCTCTATAAACCCGTCTCAGATACTGGCTTTTGTGAAAGCCCTGAGACTCTACGTTGAGTTATAACTCAACAAAGGGGAACACAATAGATCTATAAAATAACGCAATAAAGGGAAAAAGACAAGTATTCTGGTCTTAAGATGAACATTTTATTTCTATACTATTTGTACACTTGAAATAATTTATATGATTTGTAAATAACAATGAAATGATTTTAATATTTGTTCAAATTCACACAGAATTATTACATCAGTGTTCTATACAAAAAGGTATAGATTAAAATGTTTTATTTATCACAAAAAATGATTTACTTTCTCTAAATTTTACCCCTATCAACTATAAATATTATAATATCCTTCTGCAGTTATCACTTGTCCTCTAAACACAGAACAATTCAAAATACCTAATTTGTTACATTTATAATCTATATATAACCCAAAATGATATTGAACAAATCAAATATATAACTCACAGCATTATTGAATTACACTAATTCAATAGTGAATGGCTCTAGCACACTTGCACCAGGTTTTCTTATTGTTAGAGATTTTGACTCTTTGTCATAAGATGTCTCCAGATTTATTGTTCCTAAAGCTGAAAAAAATGGATACATGAATAAAAATAATAATACTATATTAGTTTATAAGATCCTGAACACTTTATCTCCGTAGTCTGTATTTTAATGCATGCAGCATAGATAAATATAAATGACCGGTTGACAGACACAGAGACAAAATGAAAAGCGGCACACAGTATTGCAATTTTTTACGTGTGTAGGTAGGAATATGTATAGATAAATATCATAGATCATAAACTTCGCATTTTTCTCTCTCCGACTTACAAGATCGACATAGCGATTCACTTCTAAACATGTACGTAGGTAAACGCCAACCCAAGACCCTTCTCTTGTCGACAGGCTATAAGTATATTATTATCTTAGCCTTAAATAAATTAGAAAAAATTAACTTTAAAAAACTTTCATTTGTACTACTGAGGTGAAGATTATATATCAAAGCTAAATATAATCTATTACAGCCGTAGTTAAATGCGTAACTAATTGTGAAAAATAAAGTTCCAACCCTAGAAGCAACATTTTTGTAAACGCCTGCTTGTGCGGTTTGAAACTCATGATGCAGAATCCAGCAATACCACATAAAAGAAATGTATCACCCCAACTTTTATCTATTTTTAATACATTTGATTGTTTACGTTAAACACGCGTTAAAATCCAGACCACCCTTTTACGATGACCAGATCGGTATATCAATTCTTTATCTGAAATTAATCAGCCAGAAATTTAAAAAATATGTGTATTCCATACGTATATTCTCTACCCACTCTATAAAATCTTATTATACAGTGAAGGACAAGAAAAAATGCTCACAAACGCTCTTATAACAGTAAAAACTTACTTTTACTTGTTAACTTAGCTCCGGTAATGCCAGCAGGTGGGCCAAGAATAACAATTTTTTCTATCCATTCTTCAGTTGGATAAGTGGCTTTATCAATCAAGCTAAAAACGAAGTATTTTAACTTATTACAATATTGAAAAGGTGTACACCTATTAAGGTGCATGCATGCACTGGACGATAACAGCTCAAAGAGAGTAACTGATTCCTAATTTCCATTAATGTCAACACTAGCTTAATCATAAAACATTTTAATCATATAGCATCTTTATGAATTAATTACTCTGTATTGTAGGGTCAAGAAAATGACGTCTAGGGCTTGACCTCGTCAAAATTATCATCGATTGTCATTCCCCAGCCGTCCTCGACGCCGTTTTCTTTCGATGTACAATCCACAGAAATTTACCTGCTAGTGAATTTGTTATTGCTGAAATCAAAGTTCAAATAGGTATATCGCTTCTCGTTCTTATAATCAAAACTCTCATAGTCGTCCAAATAAAGTGTTCCTGATGCCTTCTGTTTATCATCTAATGCAATATATAATGAAAAAGGATCATGATGCATTACTGCTGAAGACCTTCTCGGTCTATCCTTCCTGGGAATAATCGAACCTCCTCTGTAGAATGCTACATGCTAAAAAAAGGGTTGGATATTTATATTGCGCCCATAGACTTAAAATAAAATATAGACTGAGCATCTCATTCATAAATAGCTGGAACATGCGGTCAGACACTGTCTTGTTATTGTTGTGTTATTGTTTTAGGTTATAACGAGTGCGACACGAGCGATAGATAGGTTGTCTCTGTCGTAACGGTCGTTCCCTGACGACTCTGCCGAGAAACACAACACTGTCTTTCGTTTCTCAAGTACACCTGAACTCTCCGTATCATAGCCGGGTAATTTTTTTATTTTAATGAAGCTATAATTAAATTAAAAATATATCGTATTTAAACTTTTTTATGTTTTATTAAGATTTAGGACAGGTTTTTTAAATCAAAGTTTAGAAAAAATACACGTTATAGAGGAAATTTTATAATCGAAATTACGTAATTTTTGAAATTAATAATAAATTATTAATTTTAGTCAAACATTTACAACCCCTAATATTAATCAAAACAGGATCTATTCCACAGATATAATAGAATCGGCGACAGAGAGAGAAAAAAAAAATATGATTGTTGTAATTTTTTTTCTGGTTAAGTGATGTCTTATTATGTAAATTAGAGAAAACATAAATCTGTTCCATTAAAGAAAGAAAGAAAGAAAGAAATTGCTTTATTGTCATAAAAAAATTTTTACAATTTTGTTGACAAAGCTTAAAAAAAAGAATATAAAAAACATACAAAACTTCACTTAACAACAGAAAAACATATAAAACTAACAGCAAACATACAAAACTAAAACAATACTTTATACAATTATAGAAATTGTACATTGTCAAAAATTTATTTAATTAAATATAAATAAAATATAAACATACATGTAAATAAACAACTGTATATAATGTCAATACTAAATTTAAATGGATAGAAAAAACAAAATCATTTCTAAATTTAGTGAATGTGTGTTAAATTTAGAACCCTAGATATTAATAAAAAAATCGTTAACCGCGTAAAAGGCTTTCTCCAGTAAGTATGATCTCAAGGCTCTGCGAAATGCAGGAAAGGATGAAATGGAATTAATTTCAGATGGCAGATGATAGTGCATTTTTTTTTGCATTGTACAATTGGGAACTCTTTACTAACTCAGAGTGAGGGGTTGGCAGATACATGTTATGCTCTGCGTTCCTAATTGGATAGCCATGAACTGGCTCTAGAGAAATACTCGATACGTGCTTGCGAACTAGGCAGACGGATTCGAGTATGAATAGGGAAGGAAGAGTTAATATTTTATATCTTCTAAACAAGTCCCGGCAGTGAGCACAACTGGTTAGCCTCAGTGAATATCGCACAGCTCTCTTTTGTAATTTGAAGATACGCTCAAATTGAGTCGCACAACACGCACCCCAGAATGGAAGTGCGTATCGGAGATGCGACTCATAAAGGGCATAATAGACTGTCCTAGATGTTGACAAATTAAGCACATTAGCAACTGATCTAAGTGCGAAACAGGCAGAACTTAATTTTTTAGCTAAAGCATCGATGTGCAAATCCCATTTTAAATAGTTGTCCACAACAAGGCCTAAAAATTTCACAGAATCAACGACGTCAATGGTGGTATTATCAAGTTGAAAAGGTAGCAACGTACTTTTATATGATAAGACTTTAGTTTTAGAGACGTTGAGACACAGATAATTAGAATCGCACCATGTTTTTATGTTGATTAAGTCACTGGAAATGGTTCTATGAAGTGCCGTGGTGTCCGGGCTGCTCCATGTGAAACAAGTATCATCCGCGAAGAGACAGATTTTACCACTGATGTCCAGACTAGCAATATCGTTGATAAACAACAGAAACAAAATAGGACCTAGCACTGAGCCCTGAGGTACTCCGCATTCTATTGGCTTGCAAGAAGACACAGTCTTATCAACCCTCACACGCTGGTTTCTGTTGTTAAGGTAGGACTTAAACCATTCAAGAGGCGTTCCCCTGATACCATAGTACTGCAATTTATTAGTTAGGATGTTATGATTAACACAATCGAAAGCTTTCGAGAAATCACAGAAAATTGTTGCTGTAACGAGACGGTTGTTCAGACTGGAGTATACATTATTAAACAGCGAAAACATAGCGTCATTTGTACATTTGTTACTCAAGAACCCAAACTGAAAGGGGTGAGTATTTTGTATTTTAGAAGAAATGATACAAGCCTCTTTTTAACCAGTCTCTCCATGATCTTCGATAACGTGGGAAGGAGTGCAATTGGACGATAGTTGGAAGCTTGCTCTTTATCACCTCCTTTATGCAAAGGAATAATTATCGCCGACTTAAGGCAATTTGGAAAAGCACCATCTTCAAATGACATATTAATTAAGGCTGAAAGATGGTTTAATGTACATTCCGGCATACTAGAGAACATTTTAAGTGTAAGTCCGTCAGTCCCTGCTGAAGATTTATTTTTAATATCATTTAATGTATTGCGAAGCTCTGCCAACCCCACAGGCGTAAGGAAGAAACTGTGCCAATTAACATTATAGTCAGAGAGAAATGATAGAGGATCAAGGGAGGGTGAGACAGTATTCACTATATTCTTCGCCACATTTACAAAGTAATTGTTTAGGTCCTCAGGTGAAGTTGAGGTTATGTTGGACGAAGAAACCTTACTCCTCAAGTCATTCACAATCGACCATGTTTCTTTGGCAATATTACCGGACTCAGTCAACCTCCTATTGTAATAGATGTCCTTGGCGGCTTTTATAGTCTTATGGTAAATTTTCCTGTAAAGTTTCACGTACTCGTGAAAGAAGACACTATCCGAGATTTTTTTAGGTGAGATAAAGAGCGCATGTTTTTTTGCAGATGTACGTAGGCCCTTAATAGTCCAGGGTTTATGATGTTTAATTTTGACAGGCCTGAGAGGAAAGGCTTTGGATGCCAGACCAGATAATGTTTGTGTAAATCTGGAAACTTCAGTGTCTACATCACCAGAGATGACATGCCAATCTGTTGTTAGACAAAGCTGCTTAAAATTTATAAAGTTTTTTTCCGAAAAAATACGTCCTAATTTACGAAAAGTGTTTCTACTCTCGGATTTTATGGAAAATTTTGTTAATACTCCTTCATGATCAGAGAAGCCTGAGTTCAACACAGTACAGTCAACCAATTCTGGATCAAAGGATGACACGACATAGTCTATAGTACTAGAACAAGTTCTAGTGATTCTTGTTGGTGCATTAACATGCATTACTACACCAAAAGTCTCGAAGATAGACTGGAGAGATACCCGAGCATCACACACACTGGAGAAGTCAATATTAAGGTCACCACACAAGATCAACCTGCTATTCACAGGCAGGGACTCTAGCAAACTCAGTAATTTCTGAAAGAACATATGCATATCTGCGTCAGGTGTTCTATAAATACAAACAATATAGAGGTCATAAGCAATGTGGTAGATGATAGAAAATTCAAACATTTTCTCGGCTAATAAGTGATCAAATTTTGTTATTGCCGTAAGGTTTTGTTGGTAGACATTATCATAGTACCTCCATGAGATAAATTACTTCTATTAAATCTAGCTATTGTTGTGTAATTTTTCACAAACACGGGCTCATCGGTATTTAACCAATGTTCCGTTATGGCAATGATTTCAGGAAATTTGAGCTGTTCCAATAAAAGAAATAATTCATCTGTTTTGTGTCTTAAGGACTGAACATTGATAAGAAAAAATACCTAGCTTGCTATCGTCCGATTTATCAGAGGGTGCTTGATCCTCTGTTCGCGTCAAATGAATTAAAAATTTTTATTTTTAGATGGAGAGCCACTGGAAAAATACTTGCTGTGGCTTTCCCTAGACTTCTGAAGGTGAAATAGCTTCTCTGATGAGAAAAGGTCCTGAAGGCGGAGAGATCTGCCTCAACCTCAGCCACGCCAATGCCATACGCGTCGTGGAAGCGATAAAACAACTTGCGCAGGGAGTCCATGTCGCATGGGAGACCTTCCGATGCTAGCGCCAACTTGATGCTGGTGTTGGTGTGTCCCTCAAAACACGCACTGGGGGTTGGTCATGGAGGTACGCAAGGAATAGCCTGACAGCTTTCAATATCGAAGGGTCCCTTAGTCTCGCCAACAAATAACGTCCATTGGCCGTGTCCGATTCACGCGATAACCGCACAATAGGTGGAGTCATTGGGTCCAAACTCAGCACCTCACCTTCCCTTGGATGCTTATTGATAATATTTTTCGCCTCCTGCTGCCCAAAGGACTTACTCGCAGCTATAGCCAGCTATATAAAGCAAGGAAGGTGATAGGAAGTGGATAAAATAAAAACTACATTTATTTAACTCGGTACTGTTTTTATTATACCGGGTGCGTCCCAAAAGTGGCCCATCCCCATAATTTTTTTATATTTTCAAATAAAAAAACAAGATTTAGTATGTTAGTATATGAAATAAATTAGGATTGATTGACGCATTCAATTGTTTTTGGTCACTTCCTATTTCACCGGAAATGACTATAACTTTTAATTTTTAAATGGCACCCTCGGTATATTTCTACTTTATTCGATAGAAAATGACACTCTGAATAGAATGACATATCATATGTCAACTTTTGACATTTTCGCATATGATTTAATTGTAATTGTAACACGCGGTTCATAACGACAATTTAACTCGAAATACCAAGTATGTGGTATCAATATATTCATAAAAAAATGTTTTTTCCAAATATGCTAATGAGTCACCCTTGTTCCATTTGAAAAAATTGACATATGTATGATTAAAAATACGATTTGTACATCTTTTAACCGGCCTATACAAGACACGAAACCTATTAGACGATCAAAACTATTTTTCCAAGGCTCCTTGATTAAAACTTAGTGTTTTTAACAACACCATGGCACCCTGGATTGAAATTTAAAATACGATTTGTTTTTAAGCGACAATGTCAAAAGTTGGCATATGATATGTCATTCTATTCAGAGTGTCATATTTTATCGAATAAAGTAGCAATATACCGAGGGTGCCTTTAAAAATCAAAAGATGTAATCATTTCGGTGACAAAGGAAGAGGCCAAAAACAATTGAATACGTCAATAAATCCTAATTTATGTCATATACCTACTAACATACAAATCTGTTTTTTTTTATCTGAAAAAATAAAAAGGTTATAGGGGTGAGCCACTTTTGAGACGACCCGGTATATTAAAAAATATTGTTTCATAATGTAATATCATTTTAAAATTCTTGTATGTTATTTTAGATTCTGAAGATAATTTTAGAATAAACCGGAATATATTTTTAATAAAAACATTATTAATTATTAACAGGGTTATAATTATGATTTTGCTACAATGTAAGTAAGTAAATAATGTAATGGTAAGACAAAAAATTCAGATTTTACATTTTACTAAAATATTATCTAAATAAGCGCCTTTCTACAACAACGCCACTGACTCCCAATGGGTAAATTGAGAGTTGCCTACCGGTCGAAAGTCGTTTCAAGACTTAAATGAATTATTTAAGTCAAATTTCTTGCAAATTTGGCATTGGCGAACCATATTTTATAGTTCTTGAACAGAAAAAGTCAATAAAATAAACACTTAATGACTACAAGCTAAGAAAATGCGTTAAAACAGCCGGGGACATAGTGGCAACAAAGCTTTACCGCACACGTGCGACGCGTACTACAAGGTAATAAATGAATGAATAGGCTCCCTCGCCTCTAATCGGTGTTGTCATATTGTAAAGAACTTATCCTTTTTAAACAGTATCCGACTTATAATTTAGTAGTATAAGGACTATTTGATACATCTATGGAATATTAAAACCTACTCTATTAAACTGTAGTATTAATATCTCAATATATGTGTGTAACAAGAAAAAAAAATTGATAATATTAAAGACGTGACAACATAGGCTGGATGAGGAAGGCTCGGTCGACTGTACCCAGAAGTAAACATGTATACAAAAAATATTGTTTGACCGCGTTGAGATGTAAATAGTGTAGTCTATATTTTATTTTAAGTCTATGATTGCGCCCAATAAAAATAATTCAAATTAAGTAAAGCAAAAATAAAATTTCAACTTTCCTAACTATTTTATCAATGATCGTTTATAAAAATATGTTGCTGGAGACTAGAGATGAATAGGTCCGGATAGATACGAATCCACGGACCTGTGTCTGGTGTCGGTAACGATATGGATATAGATCCTACTGAATATCGACACCTATCCCCCGAACTACATTCCTGACAGCCAACCGGTCACGTTGTCGACAGAGAATGAAAACATAACGATACAGCGAAATAAATCAGTATTGGAATAAAGAGAAAATTGTATCTCGTGCCGAGTTGTATTATTACTGTTTTTTAAGGTTACCTTCGCTGAACCGTAACCGTATTCGAAATTATTTTGTATTATTTGAAATTTATATCTAGTGCTGTTATTTTCTTGGTATATTCAAATTATAGAATGTTAGGCTTCGCCAAAGAAATGAGCAGACAAGGACTACTTTCAAATTTAGTTTTAGTTTTTTTTTTGTAAAAAATAATGGCCAGTTTATTTCTTCAAAATACTATCAAATTAAAAGCTAAATGTAGATAATTTTGCTGGCAGTGTTTTTGTAACTCGACTATCTTTTATGAATATGTAAAGTTCGTAATGCTTTGCCTAGTAGTTATTAAATTTGAACCATAAGGTACTACCAAATAAATAGAACAGCTAAGATCAAATAATAAAAATTTGGCAAAACACAAACATCAGATTTCTCTAAAGGACTACAAAACTTTTGAACGCGAAGTGCTTCATGCAAAACAAAATTTAAAGTTAAAGTGATATAGATATGGCAGAACTGGAACCTGGATGTAGGTCCATAAAGCTTAATGTAATTCCTGCCTGATAAACCCATCTCTAGTAGAGATCTACGTAAAAAAATATTTATTACCTTATCTAAATCCACAGATATTTTATGATTTCCTCCATGATAGAGTTGAAAGTCTTGAATATCATACCAATACCCATTTTTACCTCCTGGTAAATAAACGTCTACAGATGTTTCACCTGGCTCCGTTACAGGATGAGCCAAAACGGAATGACCTATAATAAAAAAAGTTTACTTGTAACGCCATCAATCTAATAGTAATAGTGAGATAGTTATATAATATATAACACTTAAGATTATTTTTTATTAGTATTCGTAATATAGAGTAGTATTTATTTCTACTAAAATTTATGTAGGAGTTGGAGGTAGTTTTAATCCTCCCCGTAATTTTCCTTGTTTTTATAACATAAAATATGTTTTTTTTTTAAAGTTTGATGCCCCCTAATGAACCAACAAAGCATTTTTATACATATAGAGGTAAGTTATGTCCATGTGAGTACGCAGTAGTTGTATGTACACGGAGTACGTAGTAGTTGTATGTACACGGAATATTGAGACACCCTGTATACTTTAAAAACAGTAGTAAATAATATTAAAATGCATGAAGCTATTTAAGAAATATTAGTACTTACCAATCAAAGCTGTATTGTCAATATCAAGAACATTTTCATCATCTGGATAGTGGTAAAACAACGGTCTAATAACAGGCTCTCCTTTAGTCTCATGTTCCCAAAAGAGGGTGTACCACAAAGGTAGATGGACATATCGCAATCTTAAAGCCGTTCTAATTCTGTTTACTACATCGTCTGAGAATAAGTATGGTTCTCGTCGTTTAGTGTCGATATGGGCATGAGCACGGAAGAATGGTAACCAAATTCCGGCCTTAAAATAAAATATTAATGACAATTCTACCCCTAATCGAATGATACGACGTCACAGTCGACATATAACTAATATTTCAAATCGTGCTTTACTATGTTGGTGAAATTTTTTACTGCGACAGTGAGTCATTTAGAGTCCTAAGTCAGACGTTGTTACATCATCAGCCAACTGGAAGCCGTTTTTTTTTCAATCATACAGTACAATTTTATATGATTCAAAACGTACAAATTAAACATCGTGGACAACCCTAGAAACTGTCTTAAAAGTCATAATCACAAAATAGAAATCAACCAGAACGTTGACTCTGCTGAATTTGATGACGTTTCACGAATCACGACGCCATATTAGCAGCGGGTAACTCTCAGGGCCGGATTGAATAAGTATTTTTATTATCTGATATGTGATTACAGACTGAGCGTAATAGGTTATTTCGAAAAGTAAAGTTTGTATAGATACCACCACATGTAATTTTTATGCAGCGTTTTTTTTGCAATTAGTAGGTATACTCTGAATCAGGAAAGAAGACGATTGCATAATCGATATAAAGAAAACAAGGTATGATCGATAGCGGCCCCAATTTCGTTCAGTTTGCGCATGACGTCATATGTCATACAAAAAATATCCATATTGTTCAATTGCCACTAATAAAAAAAGACATAAAATAGGGAAGAATTAGGACATAACCCCAAAAAGTTATGTCAAATCATCGAGTTTCACATTTGAAAAATGATTTTCCTTAGACAAGGAAAGAGAGGGGATAGGTAACACGGCAGCTAAAAGTGAGGCCACTTGTCACCACACGAAATTCTCCAATGGCGTAGCATCAGAAATTAGCTTGTACCTAGACGATACCAAATATTTATTAAAACGTAAACTAATATATCGTTCATTTTTGAGTAATGCATATACAATTTTGTTTTTTTTTTAGTCTCACCTTTATAATATTAGAATACCTAAGTCGATAATGCAAAATTTATTTAACAGTCACAGTGGACTGATTATCAAGACAATTATTTATTTATTAATGTGTGTATAATGCATAATTAAATAAAATATAATGTAAATATATATGTTTTAAATGTGTATATACATATTACCGTATGATCGAAAAAAACGGCGTCTTGTTTGTTTGGAAATGACAATTTCACAAATTGATATTTAAAATTTCATTATTCATTGAATCCGTAAGCAAGTGTGAAGGGGATTGGCTAGATTCATTATTATGCCGTATGATCGAAAAAAAAAACGACGGCCAGTTGGCTTGTAAATTACGATCAATGACATTCCTCATATAATTCTACATATAAAATGACATAAAAACTATACAAAACGACATGAAATGAAGATCGCTGTCATTTTATATGTAAAATTATATGGGGAATGTCGTCGATCGTCATTTACAAGCCAACTGGACGTCTTTTTTTTCGATGATACGGTATAATAATGAATATAGCCAATCCCCTTCACGCTTGCGTACGGATTCAATGAATAATGTAATTTTTAATATTTGTTACCTTCAATCATAAGAATATTCTAATTTTCCTCAAAAAAAATAAACAATTCTAGAAGCTTTGTGTTATTTTATTTATTTTTAAATTTTTATTAATTACTTACTGAAACTGTTATTATACACCTAAATTAGTAAATTTTTTGAAAGAATATTTAAAAATATATACCCACCACAAGTTTGTCCACCCCCAGCAAATCTTGGCAGGTAAATTTAAGTTTTATATAACAACTATACATATAGAATTTTTCATTTTTTTTATAGTTTACAATTATTTTACTATTTGATAACAATACCTACTTTATACATTTTTTTACATGTAAAATATGTAAAAAATGTTTATTGCAGAAATTGTATTTCTCTAATTATAATTCCCTACGCCACTGGAGAAATCCATGCTGAGTAGCATTATTTATAGCTTCAAACATTAATTATAATACAGGATATTGAAAATACTACTTGAAATTATTAAAAACAGTTTTGTAAGGATGTGGTCCAAGACATATTAAAAGCATTTTACATATTTTTACTGCTATAATGAAAAAAATGTACATTTTATGACCACATAACAAAAGTTGTGTGTCGATTTTTACCTGTGAAATGTAATTCCAGCTACTTTTTTCTCGCTTCGGTCTTTGCAGCCATACGCTGAACATTTCACCATACTAAACAACACAGTTTATAAATTTAAAACAAAACAGTATTCACAAAAAGCATAAAAATTCGCTTGGTGTCACCTCGAAATCTTGTCACCAAAGTATGGCCGCCGATCAAATTTTGGCCTCAAAAATTTTTCACTGAAGAATATGCGTGTTAGCTGTCCCCTCTCTTTCCTTGTCTAAGTGATTTTCACATTTATTATGTGTCATTTGTTATCTGTTTGATAATTTGAAATTGGCGCGCGGAGCTTGCCGACCAATGGTGCCGTTTATCACCTGTGACGTAGTGACCAACCTGCGCAATATCATACCTTGTTTTCTTTGTAACATGTTGCATAAAAATGGGCGCGGTCAGGGAACACAGCTGCTGACATTCAGCGTAGAATTTTATTGACCAGCATCTTACGATATTCCCTAAATGGCACAAAGCAGTAGAAAGAACAAGGAACAGTAGCTGTCTCATGCGTTCTCTGTCTAATACAAAAATTTGAGAGAAATATAAATAAATCGTCTTCGTCAAATCGGTCTATAATCGATCTTTAGTCTTTAGAATAAAAATTATTTTGAAAAAAGAATTATTACTGGCTGATCATTTAATAATTAAAAATATATTATTTGACAACACAGTATTAAACATTAAATTTTTAAAAAATAACAGTTTATAATAGTATATTATTCAACGAGCATATAATGGCTGTTATTCACGCGGATGAAGTTTACAACTGTCTTTTTCGAATGTTTTAGGTTAGCCTACTGCTTTGTAACTTTTTTGACAACAAATATCTCCTATTTTTTAAGGATTCGATTAACTACTATTGACTACTAGTCAAGTTTACAACAACTTAAAACACAACCACACGAATACAAACACAAAATATAAAAAAATAATAAAATACACAACTCAACGGACTCGACGCTACGAACAGCTGCTGTTTTCTGCGATAGTCAGAATTCAACTAAAGCTTGATTTTCATGCATCCGTTATACGTTGATACGTTGGTTCGACGGTGCTCTGATTGGTCATAGCGTTTTCGCGCCACTTTTCACCCGTAAATATTTTACTTCAGCCCGTCAACGGACCCGTTCATACGATAACGGACGTTATGACATGGTTATGACACATTTTTGACAAATTTAATCTAACCTTAATAAAAATATAAGCAAAATAGCAAAATCGTTATGGAAACGAAAATATAAAATAACACCAACGTATATCCGATAAACGGAGGCATGAAAATGCAATAAATTTAAAAACTGCGTTATTTTCTAACCAATCAAAGTCTCTAAATTCTACCAATAAAATTAATATCGTATCAACGGAAAACGGATGCATGAAAATCAAGCCTAAACCCTGACCTGCCCTGACTAAACCGGTAACGCCGCTACATTGACAGGTGTTACCCGCTCATAGAGGAATTTTTAGGTTAGCTACCGTTTCGCGCGCATTTTGGGAGTCAACCTTCTGGTTGATTTCTATTTTGTGGTCATAATACTCATAACCCATAATACAAAGAAAACAAGGTATGATCGATAGCGGCTCCAATTTCGTTCTGTTCGCGCATACCACCTTGACGTCATACGCCATACAAAAAAATATCCATATGTTTCAATTGCCACTAATAAAAAATGACCTAAAATAAGAAAGAATTAGGACATAACCTCAAAAGTTATGTCAAATCATTGAGCTTAACATTTTCACATTTATTATGTGTCATCAGTTTGACGATTTTAAATATCCTGTTTATATAAACTGTGACCCAACCTGCGCAATATCATACCTTGTTTCCTTTGTATCATGCTCATAACCTTATTTTCATTGCGTCGACGCGCTACGTTTGTTTTTTTAGAAGTTTTTACTGTGACTTTCAAGTGTTCGCACTTTTATATTGCAAAGAATGAAAGTATTCTTTGATGTAGTATTCAGTAAGAAGTTAATTTTGTTTCTTTACTAATAGCTGTATCAATTTTTAAAACACATACTCAATTTTGACTCGTTTGGTCCTGGACAATGATAGAGAGAGAGAGAGAGAGAGCAGAGTGCAACAAAGAAATAAGATAACAGTCTATCGGTGATATGTTTGGGACATTTTTTTATTATTTACGCGCGTATCCTCATAACTATAATACCACTTGATTGTCTCTACTCTATAATTTAATAACAATTTTTATATATTACTCACCTGGTACCACCTTTGTAGCAATTCAATATCAGGGTTATTGAAAAAACCACCAACATCAGCACCACAGAAACTTATTCCTATAAATAAAATATAAATATATAAAGTATAATATAAAATAATTTTTTTTCATTAAACGCTGACTTTACTGGCTAAAAATTATAGTTCTAAGTTCTAAACCATATAACTGCTTGAACCTATAGAAAGAAGTTTGTTACAAAAAAATATAAAATTCCACAAATGATAGGAAAATCTCCCAACAGGAGGCCGAAGAAAAATATTACCAGCAAATGTTTTTTTCTCTCTTATTCCACAATGAAATAAATGTTTTTATGTTTTAATTATGTTATAATAAGTAAATAAAAATGTTTTAATTATTTTGACCAGAAGTTTTAATTGGTGTTGTTGACAGGTGACGAAGGTTCCAAATTTCTACACAGATAGCGCTAAACCGAAACATTTTGGAAACAAGGTTTCCATTTATTGTCGATTCAATTTCGAAACACGAGTTTCTCTCTTTTTAGACACAAATATGGAATACACGTTTTTAACTAAAAATATATGTTTTTGTTTATATATGGGCTGTTGATATATTTTTGAACCATGATATAGAAATAAAAATAAAAATGTATATTTTAAACAAAAATATGTTGTAGCAACAAATAATGCCATATAGGGTAGTGACAATAAATAATGATATATATATAAGGGGCATTAAAAATATGAAAGTGCATTATTAAACTAAACAATGAATTATTAAAAAACGCAGTTTCCTCAAAAATAATATGTTCAAAAATTCCGTTTCATAAAAATATCAATTAATTAGATAGAATCTACTATAAAATAAAGTATATTCACCTCCAAGTGCTTCAGAAAGACACATGGGAAAACTAGCAGTGAGATGAGACCATTTAGCTTCATTATCACCAGTCCATACCGCAGCAAATCTCTGAGAACCAGCAAAATGTCCACGCGTTAAAATAAATGGTCTTTTATTTGGAGAACGGAGTCTTAGACCTTGGTAAGTTCCAATTGTCTAAAAATATAAAAATAAATCATAAGTAGCTTTAAATTATAAATTAATATAACTATATTAATATATAGTGATAACTAGTGGATCTTAACTATTCAATTTGTCTTATAATTGTCACAAGATTATATCACAATTATATACAAAACAAAAACGTCTTGCAGGTAACAAAATACCATACGATCGAAAAAAAGACATCAAATACGGCTGAAATATGACAATCGATGATAGTTTTGTCGAAGTCAAGCCCTAGATGTCATGGCGCTTATTGCCAGTTGATCCTAAAGGAGTATGCGCACTGAAGGGGTATCGGCGCGAGCGAACGACATGACCGGTCGGAAAGTCGATGGTAGCCGCGCACTGGAGTCGCACGATCGAGAGTACGTCACCAGCATATATTTGAGCATAGACGAGGAGAAGTTTATTCAAATTTAGTCAAATTCATTCGGTATTTCAAAAAATTATAAAGTATTATTACTATGTATATTTTTATGCAACTTTTTATATTTTATGCTTTATGATGGAAATTAATATTTCTCCAAAAAAAAATTATTTATGGGTATTTCGCCACTGCACTGCAAGAAAAATCTACAAAATAAAATAGTTATTTTTTGTAAACACTTCTGGCGTTAAACCTAAACGGACGCTGCTTGTCAGAAGTTATGTTTACAGTTATAAAAATTTGCCTAACAAAGAAAAAAATGCTTAACGTTTCGGAAAGTTTATCTCTTTCCGTCGTCGGAAGCAAAAAAAATACAAAGAATAAAGAAAAAACTATTTAAAATATTTAAATTGAACTATTCAAGAACACTACTTTTTAAAACAGATACGTCTACAAGAAACCGTTGACGTTCTGTTAAATAAACTTTCCGAAACGTTAAGCATTTTTTTCTTTGTTAGGCAAATTTTTATAACTGTAAACATAACTTGTGACAAGCAGCGTCCGTTTAGGTTTAACGCTGAAGTGATTTTTCTTACAGTGCAGTGGCGAAATACCCATAAAGAATTTTTTTTGGAGAGATGAATCCGCCACATAGATATAGACATTTTTTGAAATTAATATTACTTAGATCTTAACGAAACACACATGATCTTAATCAAACACACATTAATATATTTCGATCTTAACAAACCACATAAAATTAGTGAAATAGAAAAATAAAAACACTAAATCACCACAATACACCAAAACACTTTTACACTGGACGCGCGTTTCGCTAACCATGTTAGCATCATCAGCAGATGATTATAAACTCATTCAGTTTATCTGCTGATGATGCTAACATGGTTAGCGAAACGCGCGTCCAGTGTAAAAGTAAACGTGTTTTGGTGTATTGTGGTGATTTAGTGTTTTTATTTTGCTGTTTAACACCAAAGATTCCAACCCTCAACTGTAATAGTAAAATAGAGTGGAAGATGGGGATAAAAAATACTACATTACTCTTGGCTTGACCGATTTTACCCAAATTTGGTGTCATTCAAAAGGGTTTAATTTGTTCTTTAAAACAAAGGTAGATATGAAAAATAGTCAAATAAAACTTCTATTTTTAGTTTTTTAATCTAAATAAGTGTCATTACAAATATTTATAAAATAATTTTATATACTATATACATATATATAGCTTTTATTTTAAATTTTTAAAATCTTGGTTTTAAGCAGGGTTGGCTTGATTTAAATCAAATGATTTAAATCATGATTTAAATCCTGATTTAAATCAAGTGATTTTTTTAATTTTAATCATGTGATTTAAATAAAAAAAATAACTTTATTGAAACTTTATAATAAATAAAAAGTAACTGTAAAAGTTATAAAAATGTGTCTTAGAAAACTATAAAAAATATTTCTATAACAGATATATCAGATAATAAATCGAAAAAATAATTGTAAATGTTATAAAACTATATAAAAATATCTGTTCATCAATTTAAATGTTGGACCGATTTTTGAAGTAATTTCGTGTGAATCCATTAGACCGCTAAACTAAAATTTTAAAATTTATGTATAAGTGACAAAAAGTCGCTGTTCGAAAATATAATCGTTGTCAGAAAAAAATTATAATCGTTGTCAGAAAATAAGTTGTTTTATATATTTTTTTTCAAACGGTGTATTTTTTTTTGAAAATGTTTCCAAATCGAAAATTCCTATCGACATTTTGATGTAAGTTCCTTACACTTTGACATTAGGTAATATTAATTTCATTCTCGAATTAAGACTATTTCCGAACAATAGTGTATTGTTTTAGTAGGAGTAAAAATTATACTTTTTTTGACGAATTGAAAGACCATCGTAAAGTTATTCCGACGTTACAGAGAGGCACAAAAAGTACATATTTTTACTCCGAAAATTACTCCTAATAGAAACAGTAATCGAGCAACAATTTGTACACTCGTTGAATTTGACACTTAATATTTTTTTTGTTTGATAATATATTTTTGTACTTTTGTGCTTATGTGTAACAGTGCTTTACTTTTATGCATAGGCGTTAAAATTAAAAAAATTAATACTCTTGAGACGTTTGAAAAAAAAATCCTTTTGATCTGAAGCAAGCGAATTTTTATGCGGAATATATTGGTGACCGATGTGAAAAAATGACACGCGCCGCAAAATTGTTAGTGATATCGGTATCGGGCAGAATTATAAAAATTTAGCCATTTAGGACAGGACTTTAATTAGAAAATAAGTCCTAATCATTTGGAAATCCGATTAAAATATTGTTTTGAATTAAAATCAAAAAAATCTGATTTAAATAAAAAAAATCTGATTTTTTTTATTTTTTTAAAAAAATCATGATTTTTTCCAACCCTGGTTTTAAGTCAGTAGTAAATAAAACGAAACTTTTGTTTACATTTTGTTTAATGATTGACGTTTCGACCAATTTTAATTCGGTCTTCTTCGGAATCTATAATATACGTATAAATGATGTTCTACGTTTGTGGTAAGAAAAAATTATATATTAAACACATTGTTAGTGATAAAGTAGTATTGCATATTATAGATTCTGAAGAAAACCGAATTAAAATTGGTCGAAACGTCAATCATTAAACAAAATGTAAACTAAAGTTTCGTTTTCTTCACTACTGACTTAAAACCAAGACTTTAAAACCTTAAAATATAATAAAAAAAGTCAAAGAAAATATAAAAAAATATATATAGTTTTTATTTTATAGTACCGTATGATCGAAAAGAAACGGCATCAGCGATGGCCATGAAATGAAGATCGGTGTCATTTAATATGTAAATTTATATGGGAAATGTCATCAATCGTCATTTCCCATCCAACTGGACGTCGTTTTGTTTCTATCATACGGTAGATATATGTACAAATATTTTATTGAAACATAAATATTATTTTCTCTATTTGTAGCTTGTACGGAGCGATCAACATAGTAACTAACATAGGATGACTATTTATCAGCTGTTATTACTAATGTCAAAACAAACCAAAAATTAAATAATATGGTAAGTTTTTTGACGATATTTAAATTAGATTTCCATAATAATGTGAGATAATCAAAACGAGATGAAAAATAAGTGGGTTTAATCGGAAAATTTTCTAATTCAAGTTATTGAATAAGTGTATTAAACAATATAGTTAATGTGCTTGTAAGAATTTTTTATAAAAAACCGCATATTAAGTATGACATGGTCTCGTACACTTTCGATTAATAATTCATCGGACATGTTTAATATAAAACCGCTCCACTAAAAACAGTCGCTCGGCATAGACCATTCGTCCTCCTCCCATGCATTCTCTGATTTCGCCTGATGGCGTGGCGCCGGGTACCGCCGATACTGACGATAGCTCGAGGCACACCGATCTAATGCAGTGCGCGGGCTTACATTTATTTCAACGTAAACTGAAAATCACGTGTCGGTCGATCGCGCCGATAGCCATTCAGTGCGCGTAGAGCTTTAAGTTGATCCTAAGAAGGTTGTAATATATTTTTATATTGGGTAAAAATGATCTTTAAATGTTTAGTTTAAAATTCGAGAAAAAAATATGTTTTTTTTGAAAATAGATTTGTATGTCTAAAAAGGTTCTATCTTTTATAATCTTCCTATAATTAGTGTTAATTTTTGATAAATGTTACGTCGAGAGAGATTTTTTAGTAAATAACTATATGGTATTAATTGATGGTATAAATAATTAATCAAAGATGGTTGAAATAAAACATTCTTGTTTTTACGCTTGTTTATGTGTAAAAACTACGATGTGTCACTTACATGTACTAAACCATATTCGTTATGAACATCCCTATGTTCCCAGCCACCATGATGGACGCAATCCTTTGGCATTGTTACTTCGGGTCCATTGAAAACAGAAGGTTCATTCATATCGTTCCAAATCCACACATCATGAGTGGTACCTTTGAAGTTTTCTAAAGCATACAGCTTTTTGTAATAATCAACTGTTTTCGGATCATAAAAATCAAGATACGATGAAGATCCAGGCCAACACCAACCTTAAAATGTTTATGATTATTAAAAAAATGTGATGTATTGCGTGTGAATTTTTTAGCAAACTGCATGTAAATATATTATCTTTAATTAGTATACTATTTTTATACATGCTGGCTTATTATACATGGTTAATCGACGGGTTGTTTTTTACCTTAACTTTAAAACACTTGTGCATAATTTTAAAACACTTTAGATTTAATAAAAAAAACTGTTGGCTTTTTATGCATCTGAGTGTAGTTAGAACAAACATCCCTATACATAAAAATAAATCTATTATTAATGTCTACCTTCATATACACTTCCATCGTGGTTCTTAACATAAAAGTCATACTTCAAAGCATCTTCATGGAGAAAGTATCCACCCTCTCTCTTAATGTGAGGATCTATAATAACAACTAATTTTCTTCCAGTACTAGTTAAATTGTTAACCATAATTTCGGGATTTGAAAATTTAATAGGATCCCATGTAAAGTATTTTTTGGCATCTGTATATTCAATGTCCAGCCACATTACATCAACAGGTAAATTATTATTATCAAAATTGGCGACCACCGTCGTTACATCATCTTGATCGTTATAGTTCCAGCGGCATTGATGGTACGCCAAGCTGAACAGCTGCAAGAAATTTAGTAGAGTGAGAGATCGCAACTATATAACTATGGCAAAAATTGCATATCTTAAATACAAATTTGTCAATTAATTATTATTCAGTTGTGCACAAAACAAATACTAAAATTGTCTTTTATATTTTGCATAAAGAGGTAGAAAAAACAGTAGATAACTTTAAAACGTTATTGTTTTTCGAACTATCCTCTACGAAGAGAAATGCATTTTGCATCCGTTGAAACCAATTTTGGGTTATTCCACTCGCTTGATACTTTCAACATTGCGCTATTGAAGGCGCTGACTGCATCTTCTGGGAATTGGAACCTTTGACCAGGCAATTCATTCTGAATTTTTGGAAAGGTAAGAGTTGTCAGGACTTACGTCGGGACTGTATTGATATTGGTTGGTCGATGGAAAATTCGATGTTTTCTTGCTTTAAAAACTCAATTGTTTTTGGAGCTGTATAGGAACTTTCATTGTTGTCTTGGTGAAGGATCAGTCATCGTTGACGGTTGATTTTTCGAAACTCAGTAATTATTTGCGACAAACAAATAGATATGTTTTTTGATCTTGCAGAGGAATTGTTGCTACATCACCCGCTCTTGAAAAAAAATGTCGCCACCATCTTTTTGGAAACATTTTTTCATCGATTTTGGTTCATCTCGGAATACCCAAACAACTGATTGACGTTTATTTTCGCGTTCATAAGATTACTCCAGGGTGCGTCTCAAAAGTGGCTCACCCCTATAACTTCTTTATTTTTTTAGATAAAAAAAGAGATTTGGTATATTAGTATATGACATAAATTAGGATTGAATAAATTGATTGACGTATTCAATTGTTTTCGGTTACTTGCTGTTTCACCGGAAATGACAACTTTTGATTTTTAAATGGCAACATCGGTATTTTTTTAATTTTATTTGATAGAAAATGTCATATGTCAACTTTTGACATATTCGCTCAAAAACAAATTGTATTTTAAATTTCAATCTAGAGTGCCATGAGCGAGGTTGGCTCGTTAGCATATTTCGAAAAAGCATTTTTTACGAATAATTTGATACAAAACACTTGGTATTTTGAGTCAAATTGTCGTTAATAACCGCACGTTACAATTTCAAATAAACCATATGCGAAAATTTGATATGACATATGATATGTCATTCTATTCAGAATGTAATTATCTATCGAATAAAGTAAAAAAATACCGAGGATGCCATTTAAAAATCAAAAGTTGTTGTCATTTCCGGTAAAACCGGAAGTGACCGAAAACAATTGAACACGTCAATCAATCCTAATTTATGTCACATACTAATATAGCAAATCTCGTTGTTTTATCTGAAAAAATAAAAAAGTTATAGGGGTGAGCCACTTTAGAGACGCACCCGGTATATATAATTTCTGAGTTTCCTGCCTTAAACCAGTGTAGAGTTTTTTGACACCAATTGACTCTAATTGCTTTCTGTTCTTTCGTCAACAGATGCGCTATCCAACAAGAAACTAATTTTTTACAGATCATTCTTCGTATAAAATTTTTCGAATTGGGATTTTTTAAATGCCCAACGATGCGTCAATTTCACGATGAGTGACATGTTTATCTTCTTGGATCGATCGGCTTACGTTGTTGGTGAACATGTTCTTGGATAGTCTATACGACTAATCCGTCTAAATTTAAATTCTCCATACCAACGAGAAATTGTCGACTAATGTGGTGCTTCATTGCCGAAAACCTTTGAATAAGAAGACTAAGGAAGGAGCATATCAAAAATCTTAGGTACACCGCGATGGGCCTCAAATATGGCCGACTTAAATTCCGGTTTATCCGTGTCGTTCTAATTTTATTCAAAAAATGTAAAACTATGATGTAGGGTAGACGTGGGGGTAAACTCGATAATTTGTTGTTTTATTTTACGTTGTGAATAAATGTTGGTAGTTATTAAAATTGTTATAAAAATATATAATTCTAATAAAAATAGATAAGTTATAATAAGTATTTATTAACACAAACATCCTATACGCTACTGAAGCAGGTAAGTCAAATTAACGTATCTAAATTCTTTGACATCTAATCTTTGACAAGTAATAAATAAAAGCTAAAATGCAAGAAAAATATATAATTTAGTTAATTTAAGTGAATTTTATAAATGATCGGTTTACTACACGTATGTATATTATATAGTCACTTACTAGCGAAAAGTTGTTCCATTATTTCACTCAATTTTTGCCGAGATCTACCGCACGCTACACAACCAACTATTTTAGAGTCTTTTTCGATAAATCGCGAGAGTGTCACTGTTAATTTAAGTTCTGCCACAATTTCCATCTAGATTTACTACCTTTATACAACTATCAGTAGTAGAATAAATAATAAATAACATAAAATAAGCTCCGTAAAGACTGACAAATCCACAAAATTTCAAATCAAATTCAAATGTGTCAAATGAATCGTCAAACAGAACTGTCAACGATCCCCACTCTAGAGTGCTTTTTCCGCCCACCATGCATGAATACATGGATAGCATTATGCTCCTTCCTTAGTCTTCTTATTCAAAACCGAAAACAGAAACCAACTCAAGGTATTGAATTATTCAACTTGGCAAGGTATTCTTGTTGAGACAACCGTCTTTTTTTGAAAAAATGTAAAAAAATATTGCGCGAAGATTTTCGCGGCTTAATTTCATTTTTCGACTAACTCCGTTAAATTCATAAATTCAGTTTAGGTACAGCTTTAAACGAAGCGATCTAAAACTTTGCCGCTAAGTTAACTAGAGATGACAGTTAATGTTGACATTTGATATATGTGGACAGGAGCCTACTATGTTTCTATATGCAAAATATAAAAGCCAACCCTTGTATAAAAATATCTTAATTATCTCTTCAAAAAAGTTGTTTGTACCTGTGGTAAACCATGGACACCGGTTAAAGACGCATATTGTTTAATGACGTCTTTTGGCTTTGGACCCGTTAGTACAAAAAAGTCCATAATACCACTTTCACTCATAAACCGTACATCTACGCTGGCCTCTGTTTTACTCCCACTAACAAGATTTACTAGAGAGGATACCACATTAATATCCTTACTGTTCTTTATATCAACCCAAGTTTCTGCTGCATTATGCCAAAATACACCGACAGTATGTTCAGCACTAAAAAATATAAAATATAAAATAATCTAATAAAAAAAATAGAATATCTAAGATAACTATGACCGCCGGAAAGATGTCAAGATTTCCTAGAAATAACGATCAATGACATTCACCACATAATTTACATAATTATAAAATATCATTAATCGTCTCTAAAGCCGAGGACGGACCTGACGAATGTTACCATTCGTTCGAATATGTTCGCATTCACGAGGAAATATTTCTCAGGTGTAGACATGTGTTCGCAGCGAATATACGTCACGACGAATGGTTTCGGCGCAAACGAATGCTTTCCATCTTCTAGTGGTAAAAGTAAATAAATCAAAGAAAAACTCGAGCCACCAATGATTGGAAACGTTGCAGTGTGGACATACTGGTAAACATGCAGGAAGTGGAAAGAGTTCGACTAGTAGAAATGTTAGCAAAAGAAAAAAAATCGTTTAAATGTGTCATGCCACTCGGTATGCTGCGAATGAATGCTACAACCCACGTCATGAAGATCTGTGCGTATATTTTTCCATTTAATTACATGTATTCCGTACCCACTAGACAACACGCCACGCCATCCGACGCCATAACACGCTATCGCATGGGGATGGGCGATTCGTCTCTCCCAGATCTCACCGACGCAGCATGTAGGGATGTCCCAAAAATAAAATAAATCGATATTTTGAATCGATTCAACATCGGATAAAACAAGATAGATCCAGAAAAAATCGGCAACAAAAGATTGATCTTATTAAATATCGATACTCGATTCTGATTATATTGGTATACTGATATTATGATTATATCTAAAAAAAACTCACGACTCGTGTACTTGGCAAGTATTTTTTATTTGCTTACAGGGTCTGGCGGGAGTGCGGCGTAGTTCCTATAATAAATAACTTACAAATTCTGTATAGATGCCCAACTCACGGTGTATACCCTGTATACTAATTACAAATGTTGGTCAAGTACACGAGTCGTGAGAACGCGCCTTAATATCGGTGTAGGTATCGATACTTCTAGTATTTTTAAGGCAACGGCCTAGCTACGTTGAAACACCGGTTCCCATTAGAACACCGAAGTTAAGCGACGTTAGGCGATACTGGTGGATGGACGGGTGACCGGTTCGAAACTCTGTATCGTGCTGTTGTCCAAGGGAAAAGTGTAAAATCTATTGATACACACTGCTCATTTACGCCGGTTCGAGGCCGGATGATCGGATATCTCGTGAGTAAAAGTTAATTTAGACACTTGCTAAGTCGGGAGGCCACTGACCATGATATGGCCGAAGACCGCGGTTCGGATTCCGCGTAAACAAAGTAGGCCCCGTCCAGATTAGCCCTGGCAGCAAAAAGGAAACGTTAACTGAAATCTTTACTTTACTTTTTCTAGTATTTTCGTAACCCTACTGATAACTTTTTTAACTAATAAAAAATTTCAGGCGTATTAACACGTGTTACAAAATGTGTACACCGATTCCCACGTCGCAACACGTGGGAATAGCGTGGCGTCACGTGGCGTGGCGTCGGGTGTTGGCTAATGGGGTCCCGGCTTTAGTGTTTCATTTTAATACTGTATATTATAACAAAAACTTTGTATCTTAAAGTTTGATCCAATAAATTCAGTATACCCTGTACATTGCATAAAACAAAATCAAATTACAAAAATGTAATTACAAATATATATTTTCGAATACAAAATCCGTTTTATACAGGGTGACCCATTAGTGCAAGGAAACCAATATCACTGTCGTTATCGAAGATATGAAAAAAAGTTTTATACAGATGTTGCATGGTTTCATAAAAGGGCATATATTCTAAAAATATTTTGTTGTATACAGGGTGTTCCAAAAAAACGTTATGATAAAGTTTTATTTTTTTGAATTGCACCCCCAGTTTTCTGTGCAGATTTGGATTCAGCATAAAATTCTGAATATAGTAAGCTATTTTTATTTCTAGCACTATACAATGTTGCCATTCTAATTCATATTAAATGAAACGTGGGTTAAAATCACTATATTCGAAAAGTGGTTAAAAACTAGAGTTAATTTAACTTTATTAACTTAGCTATGTTTTCCTAAACACCAAGAATAATAAAATAAAGCGTATACCGGGTGCGTCTTAAAAGTGGCTCACCCCTATAACTTTTTTATTTTTTCAGATAAAAAACGAGATTTGGTATGTTAGTATAAGACATAAATTAAGATTGATTGACGTATTCAATTGTTTTCGACCACTTCCTGTTTCACCGGTAATGACCGCAATTTTTGTTTTTTAAATGGGACACTGTATTTTTTTACTTTATTCGATAGCAAATAAGTCTCTGAATAGAATGACATATCATATGTCAACTTTTGACATTTTCGCATATGATTTATTTGAAATTATAACTAGTGGTTCGTAACGAAAATTTGACTCAAAATACCAAATGTGTGGTATCAAATTATTCGTAAAAAATGCGTTTTCCAAATATGCTAATGAGCCACCCTGGTTCCATTTGAAAACATTGAGATATGATTAAAAATACGATTTGGGCATTTTTTAACAGACCAGTACAAGACACTAAAAACATTAGACGATCCAATCTATTTTTCCAAGGCTCCTTGATTAAGAATTAGTATTTTTAACGTAGCCATGGCACTCTAGATTGAAATTTGAAATACGATTTTTTATTAAGCGAGAATGTCAAAAGTTGACATATTATATGTCATTTTATTCAGAATGTCATTTTCTGTCGAATAAAGTAAAAAAATACCCAGGGTGCCATTTAAAAATCAAAAGTTGTAGTCATTTCCGGTGAGACAGGAAGCGACCAGAAACAATTGAATACGTCAATCAATCCTAAGTTATGTCATATACTAACATACCAAATATCGTTTTTATATCTGAAAAAATAAAAAAAGTTATAGGGGTGAGCCACTTTTGAGACGCACCCGGTATAGTATAAAGCGTATAAAATAAGCGTAAATAAAATATAGAAACACTCTATGTATTGTTTTCCCCCTTCTACATGCAGAATTAAAAAAATAACATTCTTTGTATTTAAAATATTCTTAAACTTTTAACGGCTGGATTAACGGTTTAGCAGTTATTAGCGTTATTATATTACATACGGTTCTTTTCAACAGTAAATTTTTATAATAACCACCTCGTGATTTTTTGCCTTATATTTTACTACTCAAAAAGCCATATGCAATATAGAACCGCAAATACCTGCAAAACGGTTAAAAATATAGGAATACTTTCAATACAAAATATGTTAGTGTATTATTTCTGATATCCAAAAGAAAAATATAATAAGGCTGTTCTATTTAAAAATATTGAGATATGACATTTTAAACATTGCAATGTTGACCACGGCATAAAAAATATAAGGTATAAGAAAATCTGAGGTTTCTATCACGGATTTATTTTGTTACCCTTCGTGTTTTTAACCACTTTTCGGAAATAGTAATATTAAACCAAATTTTACTAAATAAAAAATTGAATTGCAACACCGCATAGTGCTTCATATACAAATAGTGTACTATATGCAGAATTTTAAGCTGAATCCAATTATGTAGAGAAAAATGAGGGATTCAATTTAAAGAAACTTAAAACCTCACCATAACTTTTTTTTGAGACACTCTGCATACAACAAAATATTTTGAGGATATACACCATTTTAAACCATGCAACATCTGCATAAAACTGGTTTTCATATATATGTGAACAACGATGATATTAGACTTCCTTGTACTAATGGACCACCCTGTATATTAAAAAAGGATAAATGGTTGAATAAGTTATAAAGCAAAGAGTTGTCCCTAAAACTTCTAGGTCTCCCATAACCCCTTTAGTTACCACTATATTTATACTTGCCTGTGAGCATATACAATTGGCACAGCACCATAAATTGCCATTGTGCTATCCAGTTCATATTCAAACACATCTAAGTTGTAAAGTCTAGAAAAAAATATATATATCTTGTATTGGCTGGTAAAAATGTAAATAATCTAATAAAAATACTCAAACAAAATTATATGTTATCATAATATATATATAGGCTTGGTACATTTCAACCAATATTTTAAAATTCCGACAGCAGCGCTCGGTACGCCAAAATCAGAACTGTGCGGCTACTTTATTTCACGCCGTCCCGGTTACAATGCTGATCCCATTGAAATAACATTGAAATCGTGGCTGTCATAATATTTATATATTTTGGTTTTTACTAGTGCAGTATATTGAAACTATAAACTTCCCAAGTACGAAGTTCCACAAATACAAACTTTTTTTACAAATGTCGAGGTGAATTAAAAGGTTGAGCCAGGTAATAGCAATCAAAACCTGCCGTAAGCCGTAGGCGTGTTTTGATTGCGTCGGTTAATCTCTGGGGTAAGTTTATTTTTAGATTACACGAGAAATACGGCGCGCCGAATAAGGTTGGGATGCATAACTACACCTCCCTGAACAAAGTTTTAGAGCTTCTCAGCTTTCACACACCGCTTTGATCAAAACAATATATCCATCACATAATCAAAAAATAAACAGGCATATGAGGATAAAATATAATTTGATCAATATTAATGGTATACTTTATTTTAATCAACTATTGCTTAAATGTTTTATGAACATCTTCTAAAATTATTATAATTATGTATCTTTATAAAATTGTGTTTAGTGGTGGAATAACTCGAGCGAGAGAGAGAAAATTCGCTCGAGTACTCGATTAATAACCGATTATGAATGAGCGATGCAAGTGACGAGTACCAAGCGACGAACTAAAGCGATCCTAGAATGAAATAGATTGAAATCCGATTTTAATGTGACCTACTCGATAAAAAGCCGAGCGAATTTTCTACATACATTGCAGGTAGCAAATTTATACAACGCCGTATATACCGGGTGCTATAACTTTTTTGTTTTTTAGATAAAAAATGAGATTTGGTATGTTAGTATATGACAAATTAGGATTGATTGACGTATTCAATTATTTTCTGTCACTTCCTGTTTCACCGGAAATGACTACAATTTTTGATTTTTAAATGGCACCCTCGGTATTTTTTTACTTTATTCGATAGAAAATGACATTCTAAATAGAATGAGGTATCATATGTCAACTTTTGTCATAGTCGCTCAAAAACAAATTGTATTTTAAATCTTAATCTATAGTGCCATGTCTGTGTTAAAAACACTAATTTTTAATCGTCTAATGTTTTTAGTGTCTTGTCCTGGCCGATTAAAAGATGCCCAAATCATATTTTTGATCATATCTCAATTTTTGGAACGAGGATGGCTCATTAGCATATTTCGAAAAAGATTTTTTTTACGAATAATTTGATACCACACATTTGGTACGTCGAGTCAAATTGTCGTTATGCACCGCATATTACAATTTCAAATAAACCATATGCGAAAATGTCAAAAGTTGACAAGAGATATGTGATAATACCGAATAAACTAAAAAAATACCGTCGGTGCAATTTAAAAATCATAAGTTGTAGTCATTTCCGGTGAAACCGGAAGTGACCAAAAACAATTGAATATGTCAATCAATCCTAGTATATGTCATACATTAACATACCAAATCTCGTTTCATCTGAAAAAATAAAAAAGTTATAGGTGTGAGCCACTTTTGAGACTCAGCCAGTATATTTATCCGTTGCGTATCTGAGGGACAAAATTTTACGACCTACATCGACAATGCTTTGAAATAAACTAAATTAAGCGATCAAGCGAATCGCTTGCTGCTTACTACTTGCCGTTCATTACCGAAAGAATATGTGCCCTGCGCACGCAACTTACTGCTTGGCGCTTGGCGTTAACGAGTACTTACAACTTACAACATGGGACGGCGGAAAACCGTATTTTTAAATACGAGTGATATATCGCTCGAGTGATCACTCGGTTATTGCAATCGCTAGATACTCGAGTACTCAATTATTGAAATTAATCGGTTTTTCCCATCACTAATTGTGTTATAGCCAAAGAGCCAAAAACAGTAAAACTATGATCGCTACCGTAGATGAACTCATCTAAAAGTTTTATTAGCTTCAATAATGAATTATAATACACGTTAGACCTTCGTTTTACGAGATTCTGGGGTGGTGGCAGCACCGTCATCGGAGAATGCATCAAGCCTATAAATATGAGAATCATTGAATAAATTGAACTTAAAATATCTGTTTGACACACTATTGCCATTTCAACAACATATGAGTATAAACGGCGTATAAACCAAGTATGCTATGTATATTCTATATTTAAAATCTAGTGTAATTCTATACATCATCTACCTGTATGGGTCTAAATTATTTTGCTGAGTTGTTCTAAGAGCTAAATGATCACCATGTTCTGGTAAACCATAGACTCTTTGGGCATTTGGAAATGTAAAATCACCAGCTATAAATATAAAATTGATTAAAATTGATTAATGTATATAATAAACACATGTACAGGGTGTCCCACTAAGAATAGCTCTCGGCTGTATCTCGGAAAGTATTAGCCGTAGGGGCTGCGGAAAAAAATATTTATAACTAAAGAGGCTATGAGAAATTGCTGGAAATTATTTTCAAGTTTGTAGAACGACCGCTAGGGGGCGCAACTGCAACAAAAAATAAGAAAATGAAGTTTTTACACCATTTTGCCTAGATAAGGTGTACTAATGAATGTAATGTAATAGCTTCATAATCTTCAGTAAATTTTGAATATTTTTTGTTAGAGTCATTTTCCCCTATCTACCAAAATAAAGTGATGGGGGAAGGTTAGATCTGTTTTTATTTAAATATTAATAACTCTGGACTGGATGATCGGAATCTAACGGCGAGGGCTCGTTTAAAAGAGCGTTTTTTACTCTATATTGTACCATATAAACAATAATAATAATCTTTTGAACGTAGACGCTAGGGGGCGTTGTCTTACAATTTAACAAACATTGCGCGTTTTTTCAAAAAAATTAAATGCAATAGTATATGTAATTTTAACTGATAGTAAAGAGTAGTAAAAGCTTAAAAAGTCAGCGAAAACCGCATATTGATATCTTCTTTCAAACCGAAGATATTAGCAAAATTATAATAAATACCAAAAAATAAGCCCTTAATTACCTTATTTTTACAACACGGTATCAGTAGCCCTCTTGATCATGCCCATTCCAACAACAAACAAAAAAAAGTATGATAGAAGCAGTTAGTTTATTTTAAAATCGACGAAATATCAGAATACCATAATACCACAGGTATTAATATCTAATAATTAAGATATTAATAACAGTGAACAAGAAACGATGACTCAGTGAAGTCATGGTAGGCTTTGGAAAAAAGTTGCTTTTCACGTAATAGTATAAACGTCAAATTGTTATTAGATCAACATTTTGATAGTCTTAGCAGCGTTTTTTATCTTTTGATTGCTTTTTCAAAATGCCAACAACTTCAACTATTTCAAATAATAAAGGCTTGGTATTATGGTATTCTGGTATATCATCGATTTTAAAATAAACTAACTGTTTCTATCTTATTTTTTTTATTAGAATGGGCATAATCAAGAGGGCTACTGATACCGTGTTGTAAAAATAAAGTAATTAAGGGCTTACTTTTTGGTATTTATTATACTTTTGCTAATATCTTCGGTTTGAAAGAAGATATCAAGATGCGGTTTTCGCTGATTTTTTAAGCTTTTACTACTCTTTACTATCAGCTAAAATTACATATATTCTCGTATTTATTTTTTTTTTTGAAAAAACGCGCTATGTTTGTTAGATTGTAAGAAAGCGCCCCGTTCAAAACCTTATTATTATTATTTTTATGGTACAATATAGAGTAAGAAACGCTCTTTTAAACGAGCCCTCGCTTGTTGGATTGTGATCATCCAGTCCGGAGTTATTAACATTTATATAAAGATAGATCTAACCTTCCCCCACCACTTTATTTTAGCAGATAGGGGAAAATGTTTCTAACAAAGAAAATCCAAAATTTACTGAAAATTATGAAGTTATTATTTATAGTACTCATTATCTAGGAAAAATTCTGTAAAAATTCTATTTTCTTATTTTCCATAGCAGTTGCGCCCCCTAGCGACTGTTTTACAAACTTGAAAATAATTTCCAGCAATTTCTAATAGCCCCTTTAGTTATAAATATTTTTTTTCCGTAAGCCCTACGACCAATACATTCCGAGATACAGCCGAGAGCTATTCTTAGTGGGACACCCGGTACTTGAACTTTACCTATAGCTGAAGGTCCCCTTGGTTTAGTATCATGATGTGTTTTAAAATTCTCCTCCCACGCACCGGGATCATCCTGAATTTGTGGATCTGTTGCTCTGCAAAGAATACATAAGAAATATATAACACAATAACTTTTTACATACAGATTTTTGTCACTGTAAAAGCGTGGTCTGGAATTTAAGGTGTAAGACAGTGACGGAGAAAAATTAGTAAAAAATCAAAGTATTAAAAAGAGAAAAATATATGCGGTTTTGACAGCTGCTGAATTTAGTACAAATGTTAATTGGTTCTCAGGCGTGTAGCCCGTGACACAGCGTAGTTTTGAACTAATCTGAACAAACCTATGAATAATTATTTTTTTTTGTATTTGCAAAGAGTGACTGCAGATATTTTATTCCGTATTTTCAAACAACTGTCTAACAGAATCGAGCGTTATTAAATAGCTTATATATATTACCTTCGTTTATTATATTTTAAGTACGAACCGGCAACGCTGTATCCCGCTTTTTATTTTATTTCTCTGTCTGTCAACTGGTCGTATATATTTATCTCTGCCATATGCATTAAAATACAGACCACGGAAATGAAGCGACCAGTGCTGTACATACTAACCCTTCATCTGGCTTGGTTCTGTAATGCTCAAATGCAAAAAGCCCTTTACCATTCAAAATGGTAACCAAAACATCATCTCTATAAAATTCAAGCTTTAAAGGTTTTGCTGTCAAAGTAGCTTTGTTATTTTCTGATTTTACTGTAACACTGTCCTGATCTCTTTGTAAAACTTCTAGTCTAAAAATGTTTTAATTATTATATTTTTAGTAATTTTGCCTTAATTATCTATACTTAGCAACTTGAGGTTCGCCATTTAATGCAAACTGAGGCTTGTATCTTGGAAATAATCCATCTATTTCGTCTACAGAAACTCTAAAAACATTTCCAACTATCGCTGTCAACGTTAATTTTAAATTTGCATTAGCGACTTGAGTGTTTTGTATCCCAACTTCAATAGCATTCTCAGTAATTTGTAAAGATGATAAATCAGCTTGATATACACTATCACCTGCTTGATACTTTCTTAAACGCCTATAATAATTTTAATTATTAGATTATTTAAATCTGTTTAAGAAGTGTATGATCCGTATCACAGCTTAGTCAGTACCAGCCGGCCAACTTGTGATTAAAATTGAAGTTTATCGATCCTACCTAGATATTAGCTTATTTTGTGTCAAAAGCCAGATTTTAAGCTTTACTGAGGCTTTGTATACCTATAAAAACGATCGAGATTGGTGTTCTAACTAAATCGCTATGTATTTGACACGTGGACTCTCCAAATCAGGCAAAGTTGGATAGCTGGGTGCTGAATAAGATATGATCAGGTAATCAAAAAATTATAAAATATATTAAAATAGAATAACTTACCGACAAAAACTACTTTGCTCGCATGTTTTAAAATTATTTTTATCGACTGCTAGAACTATATTAATAAAACATATTCCTAATAATAGCGACCTGAAAATAAAACAATCAGCATTATACCGTGCTGGCAACTTTTACTTTTGGGTCGGCATTTACATGTGTGGAAGTAAATCGCATAGGGATCTTATTAAGTAGGAGTGAGAGAAATGCGACCGATAGACGCGACGCGCGACGGTGTGCTGTTGCGGCGTTGCCGATACGCCTTTCCCTATCAAGTAAAGTAAAATCACGATCGCAAACCGCTTATTTTTAAGACTTTTTTTCAAGAGATAACTAGATAAAATCATTAGACATGTTTCTGACCATCTGAAATGGAATTATAAGGATATCGTTAAGGTGTCATTTTTTTATAACGAGAAAACGTCAGTAATCGCGATAATTTAAAAACTCAACTTTTTAACACATAACAGGCCATAACTCAAGAACCACTTTAGATATTGAAACTTTTTTTTATTTTCAAGATAGGATATTTTAAAATATGTTTACATAAGAAAAATTCGATAAGGTTGTTTTTTGCCATTCAAAAATTGTAAACAATCCATCCATTTACTTTCAGAGCATAGCAATTTTCAGCAATCGTGTAATTTTTTTATTGATAAAGATTTTCACATACTGTCTACAAAGAAAATACAGCAGAAATATTAACAAAGTTCTTGAAAAAACTACAATCTATTATTTCTAATAGATTTCGAGATATCGATTTTTGAATTCAGAGTTCTAATAGCGCGACCACTATCGAACACCCACTCAATTCCACTTATTTTTACCAAAAATGCAAGTGTTTCTAGCTTGCACTTAAAAAAATTCAAGCTATAAGGAAAATTACAACGACTCGTTAATAAATAAACAAATTAATTATCACGAGACGTAATTAAATCGTGAAGCTGAACGCATGACGTGCACCTTTCCCTAGAACTGTAAGTACTGACAGAGGTATTGATTGGATCGACCGGTCAACTGAGAAGTGTCTAGCTCTAGCAGTCAACTATTAAGCTTGACCAATCAGGTTGGTTAGCGTGGTTATTTGGAGAGTGTCTATTCATTTCTGTTTGTCAAAACCTCTAACGTGATTGGTCAGGCTTAATAGTTGCCTGCTAGGGCTAGACACAAGTGTCAACTGCGACAAATCTGCTATATCCCCTTCCACGTCTCTTAGGCCCGGTTGTACCAACGAAGTTCACCGACAGATCAACTGTGAACGACGATCAAAGCAAAAAATGCGTTGTACCAAGCCTGAACGCCGTTCAAATTGCCCGGTTAACTGAACGGTGACATTAGGCGGTTCAAGCGTCGTTCAGGGGTAGACATAACCTTATTATTTGACATATTCCGCTTTTCGTTGTTTTGATTATCGTTTTGTTTATTGTTCTTAAGATTTTTCGTAATGGATCCTTTATTAGGTGAATTAACTGACGACGAAGACTTTTTAGAATTAGTGAGACAGTGGTGAGACATCATGAACGGCTAAGGAGACCACAAACAGTACGATTTCGACCAAACAATTTCGAAAAATGGAATGACGTGGATTTTAAAAAAAGATTTCGACTTGCTAAACCTATTGTGAATTATTTAATAGAGGAAATTTCCGGTTTAATTGCATCTAAAACAAACAAGTAAGTTTAATTATGTATATTTACTGTATCTTATTTAAGCTTTTATTTTTAGAAATCATGCTTTAACACCAGCCGACATGGTATTTATCACATTACGGTTCTTAGCATCAGGATGTTTTCTACAAAGTGTTGGTGATATCAGTAGTGTAGACAAGTCTACTACGAGCCGCGTGATTACAAAAGTAACTAGAGCTATAGCATCTTTAAGCAAGGACTTTATTAAAATGCCAATGGGAGTGGAAGATAGAAATTCAAAGGCACAAGGTTTTTATAATATTTGTCGCTTTCCAAGATGCATAGGAGCAGTTGATTGTACGCATGTGAAGATACAATCTCCTCAGGGGCAAATGCAGAGAATTACCGCAATAGGAAAGGATTTTTTTCATTTGTCCAAGCAATTTGTGACAGCGATTTGAAAATATCTAACATTGTGTGTAGATGGCCTGGTTCTATACATGGTTCAATGATTTTTAGAAATTCTAGAGTAAAGGCTGAGTTTGAAAATGGAGTATATGGAAATAATTTATTACTAGGGGACAGTGGGTATGGAGTAAAACCATACCTAATAACCCCTTTGGCGAATCCAAGAACGAGGGCTGAAAACTTATTTAACGAAGCTCAGATAAGAACAAGAAACCCAATAGAAAGGTGTTTTGGTGTACTAAAAAGAAGATTTCCGTTCCGAAGAATCCGTTTAAATGTTGATAAAGTAGAAGCAATAGTGCTGTTTCCGCTGCTGTTCTTCATAACATAGCGTGTCATTTTGCAGATTCAACACCATTAGTAACTGATGAAATTGAAGCGGAAATAAACATTGGAAATAATATAGGAGAACATGTTCCAAATGACTTGGGTGGTATAAATAATAGTGTTAGATATAGTTTAATTAATGAATATTTTGAACCACTGTAAATATGTTATTTTACGATATAGAATATATTGCTGAGTATTAATTATTTACATCTAGAACTAATTATTTACGTCTAGAAAATGTTTCAATATTATTTTACTAAAACATTCTTAAAATGTCTTAATGTTTTAAAGTCAAAATAACTTGTTAATTAATTAAATTGTGATTATAATTACCATAAAATAAATTACCATTACATACTCTTGTATATATTTTGATGTATGTATATAATATTTTTTATTGTATGTATAGGATTATTTTTATATTTTTGATAATTCTGATTATAACTAGATAATTAAATAACAATAATTAATAAATTATATTAAATTAATACAATTCAGTATACTTGTTGTTTGTACTAGATATGTAATATGTAAAAGAAATAAAACGATATAATATGTATGCATATTTTCAAAATTCATATATATTGTGTGTTAAGTGTTTATATCATATTTTTTAATAATTAAATATTTACAGAGTATTTATTGGTCAATTATTTTTTTTATTAGTTCCTTGCTAAATTTTAAAAATTTAATTCTCTCATCATGCTCCCTTTCTTGCTGCTTCATAAAGGCTTCATGCTTTTCTTGCATTTGAGACATTTTTAAATTGTGCTGCTCTAGGAAACATTTCTTTTGAAGCTCAGCGAGTTCAATTTTTGAACTACTCCAATCTGTTAATTTTTTTGTTAAACCCCTTACATACCCTCTAAATATAGATTTCACTTTATATAATAATATAATATAAAAAATAAGGTATGATGTACAGATGTATTAGCTAGAACGTCTAAAAAGTAAATGAACGAATCGGTCAGCCGCGAACAGGTATTAAAAAGTCGTATTTTATGGCAACAGAAAGGAAAAAAGGTACCATAATTTATATTTTGGGAGAACCCGCCAATCAATAAAACAAACTTTTAAAAGCATTTACGCCAACTTATATAAAAACTCCAAAATTTACTGTGAAATTTAATACCAACATAAGAAACTAAATATTGATCGACGTTCTACTGAACGCGAGTTGGTGCAACGCAATCCAAGTTCAACTTTGACCAACAGATCAGTTGAACTCTCGTTCAATTTATTTTGGTACAACCGGGCCTTAGCGATGTGCACAGTTTCTCGATTTATTTCATACGTTTGGCAACGTGTTTACTGTCCTCTCTTTGTTCAGTACATTATAAACGCATTGTACTCTTCTTACATACGGAAATCTCGACCCAAGACTAACCATTGCCAGCCCTTAGTATTGAGTCTATATAAAGTGTCGTATGATCGAAAAAAAACGGAGTCCAGTTGGCTTGGAAAAGACGATAACCATATAATTTTACAAACAAAATAACAGTGATCTTCATTAACAAGCCATCTCTGACGCCGTTTTTTTCGATCGTATGGTATATATCAGTAACAGATTATTACTGTAATAATAAAAAAATAAATAAATAGTAACTTCATCGTTTTCTGTTTGGCACATAACCAGGGCGCAACTAGGGGAGCCCCCTAGTTAAAAACATATAGAAAAATTGAGACATAGCATTATAAGAATCGCAATGTTAGCCGCACCATAAAAAAACAAATGGAGGTTGCAATTTAAAAAACATAAAAAACTTACAACTTTATCATGACTTTTTTTGGTCTGTATACAATAAAATAATTTTAGGAGAGACACCTTTATGTTCACCTTATTTACGTGATGCACATTTATATTAAACTTTTTTTCATATATTTCTCAACGACAATATTGGATTTCCTCGCACTAATGACTCCCTGGTATAACTGTCTATAAGAGAATAATTTTATAACTAGGTCACAATACTATTGCATTTTTTAATTGATATATGTATAATGTATTACCTATACAGGGTGCTACAAATTCGAGGTACGAGCATTGGTATTTCGGAAACCGTAATAGATACGAAGATGGTTAAATTGGGGTGTTCACCAAGATGCCATCAAAAAAGTTTTAAAAATTTCAAGGATTGCTGAGTTTTTTGGAAACGTATTTTTTTGAAAACTAATTTTATTTTTTCCTGTCGTTACTTTTTAGAAAATCAAAGAACTAATTACACATTGTCATAGCCACTTTATTAGGACTATCTGACAGTATTTTTAGATTTTCAAATTAGCTGATAGTTTGTAAGATACAGAGGCCAACTTAATTTATTTAAATACGGACCTGCATTTTTTATTTCAGATTTTGAAAGAACTCAGTCTCCTGAGTACAATGATATGCCACACTTTATACTTTTTTTGTTTTTGGTACCTTAACAGCAACAAAACTATTTAATTATTATTTAAAAAAATTTCAAGGCCGACTCTGTTTTTTAAATTATTTAATCTGATTATATTCATCGCAACAATATTGATCAATGCTAATTAACACTGAATAAGGAAAATTGAGCCAATTGAAAGATTCAAATAAATAATATCCAGATCAGCAATTTAAAGATATTATTTTTAACTTTTCTTAAAAATCTTCTTGAAATTTTGAGTGTACGATCTAATAATTTGCATAATATTAATCGTAGTTATTATAAATAAATTAACTTCTACAAACTAGTTTCTAATGCTTTACATAGTCTAAATGTTCGAAATGGTTACCACCCTCCTTATTGCACAAATTTACTTTTCGTTCAATTTTATTTATAGCTTTCGAATAGATCTTCTTATACTTTCGAATGCATTTTGTACTCGCTGTAACTGCCGAGATGTGTTGATTTCACTTTTTTGTAAAATTTGGACCTGTCGAATTACTTGATGTCATCAGACGGTCCAGGTACCTCGCTGGCCATTATATTGCTCCGCCATTTCCAATTAATTCATCTTCCGGGGAAATGATTTGATTGTTTATATTACATTTTATTTATATTATTTTTTATTGTTTTATTGCACTTGATTTTCCGTATCCAACCCACGTCACTGTTAAGTTTGAAAGCTTATCAATATTGTAACGATGAATATATTAAATATTAAAAAAAGACAGAGCCGGACTTGAAATTAGTTTAAAAAATTGTGTCCAAGTTTCCAAAACAAAAAAAATATTAAGTGTGGCATATCATTGTACTCAGGAGAACGAGTTCTTTCAAAATCTGAAATAAAAAATGCAGGTCCGTATTTAAAAAAATTAAGTTGGCCTCTGTATCTCACAAATTATCAGCTGATTTGAAAATCTAAAAATACTATTAGATAGCCCTAATAAAGTTGCTATGAGAATCTGCAATTAGTTTTTTAATTGTCTAAAAAGTGTCGACAGGAAAAAATAAAATTAATTTTCAAAAATACCCGTTTTTTCCAAAAAACTCAGCAATCCTTGAAATTTTTAAAACTTTTTTGTTGGCATCTTGGTGAACATCCCAAAGCGCAACTTTGCCTCAATTTAACCATGTTCGTATCTATTACGGTTACCGAGTTATCAATGCTCGTACCTCGAATTTGTAGCACCCTGTATAAGGTATTACTTTGCTACTTTAACCTGTAGATATTTTCCTATTAATTTTTTACTGCTGACTATTTTGTATTGTTATTTGGGAATAAAGAATCATTATTACACCTGACAAAAAAAAACAGCTAAAAAATCTATGAAATTATTCCAGAAAACCACTTAAAATTTTGTATTGTTATAAAAAACACATAGATATCAACGAGGATATCAATGTCACATAAATAAATCATAGCATCTAGTTGTAATGCATTGAGTTATTGCAAAAAGAACTACTCTTCCTTAAGCGGCCAATATTAAAGGCCAAAAAACAAATAATGGAATGGTATACATACAGGGTGATTTTTAACCTATACGCATAACTTGGGAAATTATTGCTGATGACAAATAATGACTAATAATGAAAAAAAAATGTTAGTAAAATATTTTTAGATCCTGAAATAATTTGGTTTTTTTTTTCACAAAAATTTATTAACTTTATCGGTAAATGCACATTCAATTTAATGGAATTTACGTTTTTTGTTTTTATTTCAAATAGTTTGTTATCTCCGTAAATAAAAATTTTTTTTCATTTTAATCATTATTTGTCATCAGCAATAATTTCCCCAGTTTATGCGTATAGGTTAAAAATCACCCTGTATAATTATTTATAAAGGAGAAATGAGTATTATATTCAAAGTTTTATTTCTAAAACTTCTAAAAAGACAGCTCCACATTCTAAACTATTGTAAGCTGGTAACACAAACATCAAATTGTCATCAAACGAAATTTACAAGAACAACAAAATGTACTTTAAAAAATTATTATCGAAGCAGTATACCATTTCAATTATTTTGAAAAAATAATGATCTCTTCATTTTCAATATTCTCAATACTCTTAAAGATTATTGACCAATTGAAAATATTAATTAAAAAGATTGTTAATAAATAGCATTCAAATATCATTGCAGAAAAAATACACCACATCATCCCAACATTACCAAATCCAACAATTCCAAATCGCTTTCAATAAGATAAGTTATCTATGCCATTACTTCAAAAAGTATATATTATGTATAATGATTCAGAAATAACACTGCCTATTTCCAAAAGCCTAGCCATAAAAAACTTCTAAGTAAACCCGATGAATAAGAATTGAAAACAAGTCTTGCCAACATTTTGAATTCGGCACTAATGGGTAGGTATTTATCCAATTACTAAGTGAAATAAATAAATGTATAAAATGAATACAGTTCGTACCTAATACAATTTGTATGTTACCTAAATTATTACATAAAAAATATTATATATATTTCACACAATTAACTTCTGTGTTCAAAAACCAAATATGGTACTTAATACATCCACAGGCCTTCATTTTCATTCCCTATCTTGTCGGTAATAAATGAAAATAAAGCTCCCAAAACATTCATACAACTGGCGAATGGAATATGATAAATATAAACTTTATAAAATCATACCTGTCACTCTAAAATACACAATTTACGTAGGTATAAATACAAAACAGAAACGCTTATTAATTGATCATTCACAAAAGTAAACATTACATGTGTACATTGATAGAAGTCAGTGGGCCTATATTCAATGATGTTAAAATAGGAGTCCTGTTAACCTATATAGGGCAAATATAAAACTTGCTCTACATAAAACAATTTGTAAGTATTTATAAACAGTACAATACTACAATACATGTAAAACGTTATACATAAAATGTGATGTGGTATTAAATTTACAGAGTTGAACCTGCCGGTATAAGAAAAATCTATATTAAAGCTCCAGTACAAGAGCTTTATAAATAACTGAAATTATTCTAACGTAAAATTATTTATAATGTAATAAAAATATATTATATTAGTACTTACCACCTGGCCATTTTGGCATCAACCTATTGATTAAATTTCTGTTATCTTTCTATTATATTTCTAACCTAACCGAACGGCTAAAAAATAATAATAAAAGTATTTCTGACGTGTACCTGAAATGGTACTTCAGTGTCAGACATGTGTCAGACTGTCAGAGATAGAGATGTCAATTGTCAATCGATTTAAGAATTTTCATTTTCGAGATAATGAAAAGTGATATTACAGGTTTCTTTATCGCAACCAAAAATTTAAATGGTTATGATTAACTGCGCGCTAACGGGAATGATACTATTTGCTTAGCCAAACGCTATTTACAACTCCCTGAAAAAACTGAAAATTTTAAAAATATATTACGAATTACGATATTTGAAATTATTGTTTAAAAATCCAGTTATTTGTCGTTTTATTTTATTATTTCTAGAGAGATTCCTTTGTATTTTGTTGAAAACTCTTTGTAAATTTAACAGATATTAAAAGTAGAATCAAAGAGTAGATTTGGTAGAATATTGAAATATTTTGGAGATGAGAATAATCATCCCCCAACTAACTTTTTATTGCAAAGTTACAATTAATAATATATGTTTACAGTATATATAGGCATACTATAAACATATAATCTAAGAATCTTAAATATTCATTTATTTTTCAAGATAATCCGTTCCAAGTCCGCACGATAACCGGATAATTAGCCACAACCATTCCAGTTTGAAATTTGAGACTTGAGATATTTCTATTCTGTGGGTATTTTTAACCTATAAGTTTTTTCCCATGGTTTTTCGTTATGGTTTTTCGTAAGGTTTTTCGCTTTTTACTTTGAAAAACTTCATTTTATTCAGAGGCAGAAAATAGGCACATCATATTTTTCCTGTTTTACTCTTTTTTTATGTGTTAACAGTTCTCTTAAGGATTTTCTTAAAGTCTGGAAGTTGATCTTTTATTGTGCAGACAAACACTTTGAACATGGATAATTCTGAAGATGAAGCAGCTAATAATGTTTCAGATATAAAAGAGGAAGAGGATGAAACAAAACCATCTACAAGTGGTTCAGTAGAATTTCCTAGTGAAACGAAATATTCTCATATTAAAAATAAACATGTACGAGTCCAACAGTTTCAAAAAGCCAAAAGAGAACAGAAAAAGGTACTAACATTTCTTTAAGTTTCACATATTTTTCTCTTTAATAGTATCTTAATCTTAAAACAATAGGCAAAAAAAGAAGCTAAAAAGAAACGTGAAGTTGAAGGAACACCCAAAAAAGTTCCACATACTATTGAGAGTCTTCGAGAGAAAGATGAAACTACTGTAACTAGTATTGATTCCGAAGAAAATGAGTTAGTTCGAAATGACTTAGAAAGCGATGAGTTTAGTGAATATTACAAGAATTCGTATGAACCAAAAGTTTTGATTACTTATGCTGATAATCCAATGAAGGTAACAAGTAACTAACTATTTATTAGTTTATACTGTATGTTTTTTAATTTTTTGCTTTACAGAAAACTAGGATTTTTGGAAGAGAATTAACAAGAATAATTCCCAACTCTACATCTCTTTACAGAAATCGTTCTGGAGTTAAAAAAATTGTTAAAAGTGCAATTAGCAAAAACTTTACTGATATTTTGGGTAAGGTGATTTTTAGTAATCATAAATATAAAGTTTTTAGAAACAAAATCAAAATTATATACTTTAATTATTGCTTTTAATAAGGGAATTTTAATATTTTAGTGGTTAATGAAAATCGCAAGGAACCTGATGGTCTTTTAGTAATACATTTACCAAATGGTCCCACTGCACATTTCAAATTAAGTAATGTTAGGATAACTACAGAGTTAAGAAAGACTCACAAAGATATAACAGCTCATCGGCCAGAAGTGGTGTTGAATAATTTTACAACTCGCTTAGGTTTAACAGTTGGAAGAATGTTGGGGGCCTTGTTCCATTATGATCCGGAGTTTGTCGGACAACGAGCTGTTACTTTTCATAATCAAAGAGATTTTATATTCTTTAGACATTACAGGTATGTAGTGATTTTATTTATAAATAGCTAAGTATAAAAGGTTTTTTTTAGATATGGATTTGACGCAGAGGGTAAAAAAGCCAGATTAAAAGAATTGGGTCCTAGATTCACTCTTAAACTAAAATCTTTGCAAAAAGGCACATTTGATAGTAAATATGGTCAATATGAATGGATTAAAGATGGCAGGAGACATAAAATGGAAACAAGTAGAAGAAAGTTTGATCTATGATTATTATATATTTGTTTTAATGTTTTTAATGAATTCATTGAATTTTTACATTATGTAGTTTTATTGATATTTCATTTATACCTATAAGAACATAATTCATATGGAGTGTACTAAATTTAGCAATACTTAAAAGTAGTATATGTGTTTAATTAACTTAAAATAAGATTTGTACCTACTTAACCTTGCTATGAAAGAGTTTAATTTTTCAATTAAATTAAAATGTCATATAATACGGAGACTATAAGTAAGTCTGTGAAGTAAATGTAAATATTTTTAGAGATGATACCTATTTCGACCCCCGTTTCAACCCCAGACACCCCCCTAAGTTACTTTTTCCGTGAAAAAATTTGAAAATTTTGTACAACTTAACAAGTATAGCTAAAGACGTGAGAAATATAAAATAACAGGCGACCGGTGCTATCCCCCAGTCTCTTCCTATATTTGTACAACTGTATATATTTTTCCATAAAATTTTTGTAATGTTTATTTATTAGTAGAATGAAAAAAAAACAAAAAAATCAAGTGGTTCGTAAAATTTAAGTAAAACTGAGTAAAACCCGTGGTAAAACCAGTAAAACAAAATCAATTTGTCTAGGACACCAAAGCTAGAACGGCTAGAACACCGATTTCCATCCTAGATTTTAAAAATTATGACCACGACCACAGATTATGACTTCTTGCTTCTTGATCATTGTTGGCAATCAAGGTGCATATTATGGCAAGGTAATTATTTGTATTTCTTTGTGCTTAGACCATGCTTAGACCTTTCACTACCAGGTGGCACTAATATGACTTGGACATTTTAAAAAAACATGGCGAGGTTATATTTATTTTCTAAATATTAAAGTCTAATTTTTTATTGTTGGTTTATATGTTTTTCGGTGTAGTGCCTTAAAAACGGAATTACTTAATTGTTTATTTGCTATAGTGCGGTAGTGCGGTATTTCACGTACTTTGTGTTATAATAAACTAAGGAAACTTAATTTTAAGTGTTGGTGCATAAGAATTTTAAGTATTTTTGGAACCTTGGTGCTGTTTCTTTCCTTTTGAATTGGTAAGTTTACATTTGATTTAACAATACATTGCGTATATTATTATTCTAATATAGCTGTAATAATACAAGACGTCTAAAAAGTTATAAAATTTATTAAAATTAAGTTTTAAAGTATTCTAGATCCTGTGTGAAGTTATTTTTAAACAGCTGGTTATATTTGACTTACAGTAGTCTAGTGAATGTTGAAAGTTAAATATTTATATTGTAGTGCTTCTTTTGGAACACTTATTTTTCGAATAAAAATGTAACGTTAAGAAAAATTTTCACGTTTATGTCAATGTGTGGAGGAGTGGATGAGTTCTTATTAACTTTTGAAATTTTCAAGTGGTCCAAAAACATTTATATATTATTTGTATAAACGTACATAAATTAAACATTTTAATATGATAGGTACCTTTAATATTTACTATGTACATATTATGGAATGAATGTATATACTACAGATCTCTATTTTTTAATTGTTAGGTACTTTTTAAAATTTAAAACACCTATCAGGTAGGCAAGGTTGTTAAACTTGGTACCAGCGTACGTATATACTAGGTATGTAGGTATATTTGTACAGCTTCTAAAAGCAAAGCAAAAAGTAGGTATCGAAATGTTGTATACCTATTACCAATATTTTTTGGAAATTCTTAAAATGTTTTTTGATGGTTGTCTAATGACTTACAAACCACTTCCAGACTAGTAAATTCTTGCACTCTACCCTAGACCACCTAAGAGACCACCCAGAGAATATACCTATTTTTCAGTTGTTAGTAGTTTACGAGGTATTTTACAATTGTAACATTGCTTTGCTTATATTTATGTCTTTTTGCTTTAATGCTTTATTAATATAAATATTAATTATTAATATCAAATACACACTTTAAAAATTTATAAAAATTTTACTAGGAATTTCACAACAATTTTCTTAAAAACATTTTGGTGCAAAGAGCACCTGCATTTCAAACTTTTTTATAAAATAATCTCAAATAATAGGTATTTTATAATAACCTGAAATCTATTATAATATACCGGGTATTATAATATATACGTCTCAAAAATGGCTCACCTCTACAACTTTTTTTATTTTTTCAGATATAAAAACGAGATTTGGTATGTTAGTATATGAGAAATTACGATTATTGGATACTAATTATTAACAAAATTAGGATTGATTGACGCAATCAATTAATTGTTTTTAGGCACTTCCTGTTTCCCCGGAAATGAATACAACTTTTGATTTTTAAATGACGCCCCTGGTATTTTCTTACTTTGTTCCTTTGAATAAGAAGACTACTTTGTTGCGAAGAATAAGAAGACTACTTTGATAGAAAATGACACTCTGAATAGAATGACATAGGTATCACATGTCAACTTTTGACATTTTCGCATATGGTTTATTTGAAATTGTAACATGCGGTTCATAACGACAATTTGACTCGAAATACCATTTGTGTGGTACCAAATTATTCGTAAAAAATGATTTTTCCAAATATGCTAATGAGCCATCCTTGTTCCATTTGAAAAAATTGAGATATGATTAAAATACGATTGGGGCATCTTTTGACTGGCCAGGACAACACACGAAACACATCAGACGATCAAATCTATTTTTCCAAGGCTTGATTAAAAATTAGTTTCTTAACACAGCCTCGACACAGCCATGACACTCTAGATTGAATTTTAAAATACGATTTTTTTAAGCGAAAATGTCAAAAGTTGGCATATAATGTGTCATTCTATTGAGAATGTCATTTTCTATCGAATAAAGTAAAAATATACCAAGGATGCCATTTAAAAATCAAGTTGTAGTCATTTCCGGTGAAACAGGAAGTGACGCTAAACAATTGAATACGCAAATCAATCCTAATTTATGCCATACTAACATACCAAATCTCGTTTTTTCATCTAAAGAAATAAAAAAGTTATAGGGGTGAGCCATTTTTGAGACGCACCCGGTATACGAATCTGTAATAAATCTATAATAATCTATAATCTACAATAATTTCTATAATAATCTGAAAAGTAATAAAACCGTATTTGGAGGAGACAGCTTACCAATCAAATACAAGCAAACAACTAACTAAAAGATACAATGAAATATCCTAGGGTTTACATAAATATATTTCTTGAATTCAGACAAATTCTATAACTACTCTTGAAATGTGTTCAAGGAAATATCCACAAAACCAAAAACTGTTTTTGTGTTATTCTCATTCTCTCCAATTTCCAGGTTGCGTTTTTCACATTTTTCATTAATGTTGGTGTAGACTGTAGAGCGTTTCCATATCCAAATTCACGTGGTTTAATTTTAGTCATCACAAAAGACGACTTAGGTATGACAAAAGACGACTGCCTCCTTTTATTTCTTGTTTAGGTTTATATATGCCTTTTACAATATTGTCAATAACTGACAATACAGGGTGGCGCACCTCATTCACCTCGGTTGATTATACGAAAACGGAAAGATGTAGAAACAAAATATTTTATGGGTATATGTGGGGAGACAATGTGCACAATTTAAAATTATTTTGAAACATACGGGGTGTTTCAGAACTAAGATCCACACCAAAGTTATATGTTTTCTTATGAAACATCTGGTATTTTATTTCATTTTTGGATTCTTGGGCCCAAAAAAAGGCATTTATTATAAGGGTTAAATATGTTTAAAATCTTTTGTTTTTGAGATATTTAAAGATATTTAAATTTGCATGCTACAATAGAATAGACTATTAACACCCTGTACGTTACTTTTTATAATTAATTTTTATGCTGAGTTTAAACGTAGAGAAATAAACTTTACTGAAAAATGGTATTGGTTCCTTAAATTTATACAGGGCTATCAAAAGTTGCTGATCTATTTTAAGGATATATTTCATATAAAAACTTCGTTATTTCAAATGCAACACCCTGTATTTTTTTAAATAAATCAAAGAAGATTCAAATGCTCTTTCAAACTATATTAGGGTTTCCTATACCTATCTAGCTCAGATTTTGAATAAAAAGCGTTTTTTAAATAAAATTGTAATCAAGATGGCTGGTGTCGCCATGGCAATTTTCTAGTGACAGTTAGTAACTATTTTCAAAGTCGACATTAATTTATGGACATTATTATTTATAAATAATTTATAACAGTTTACTTAAATTTACCTATAATAGATAAGTAACTTAAGTAAGTATTCATTATTTTATCAAGAAAAATAAAGCAGTATCTGCTGGCGGAACAAATAGATATGGTACTAGTGATATTATTTTGTGAGGAAAATTGCTTCTTGGCCTGAAGGGCTTATGCCCAAAGATATCCAAATAGGAATCTTCCTGATAAGCGTTTCTTTGAAAAACTTCTTGTCCTATTTCGCAGAGCTGGTAGTGTGGTTTATAATAAACCTATTAGGTAGAAACCTGTCGTTGGAAGTGAATAAAGTGAATTTGCTGTAATCTGTAATTGGCTATTTTATAGAAAATCCATATATCTACAAGTCATCTTAAAATAATTCAAAGAACTACTTCTTCGTTTTTCTTGATAGAATAATATACACATATCTAATAAATATTATTTATTAAACTATTGTAGGTAAATTAAATAAAAGTAAACTGGTATAAATTTAAATAAGTCCATAAACGAATTTCGATTTTGAAAATAGCTACTAACTGTCACAACTTGCCATGACAACACTAGCCATCTTAATTAAAATTTTATTAAAAAATCGCTTTTTATTCAAAATCTGAGCCAGATAGGTATAGGAAACCCTAATATAGTTTGAAAGAGCATTTGAATCTGCTTGGACTTATTTAAAAAAATTGGCGCCGGGTGGCACGCATAGCCGCCCATACTAAAATATGTTAATATCTCGAAACCTGCACTTTGACTGATTTTGATGTTATTACAAATTTTGTTGCAAATATTATTCTTAATCTTAATTTGAAAACCGCGTTTCGCTAGCTACTGTAATTTTGGAGTTACGATTTTTTAAAACTTTTAACCCCCTCCCATACCCCCTTACCAACCCCC